TTTCCGGAACATTTTCAAAAATTAAGTTGAAAAAATTAATTTTTGTAAAAAAGTTGCCATTTTAAATCCCCCCCAATGAGCAGGTTAAGTGATAGATTTTCAAAAAAATGATATTAAATGAAAGGTAAATATCTAAGGTTTTAGTATAAAAAAAAATTATGTTGATTTTTGAAAAAGTTATGGAAGTTTTAAGAAAAAAAATGACAAAATTTACCGATTTTTAAATTTGTAATTTTTTTGGATATTTCCCCCATTTTCGGGTAACGAGGGAATTTTTTTCAAATTTTAAAAGTAATGTTTCCAACTAGATACGATTTGTGATCTTTTGACGTATTTTTGAAAGAAATCGGTCCAGTGAGAGCTGAGAAAAAGTGGTAACAGACACAAAAAATATAAATAAATAAAAAATCATATCATAGTAAAATTAATACCTTCTCAGCTTCGCATCGAAGCTAATATAAAAAATGATTTTCTTAATATAATTATTGTTTTAAGAGAAATCGGGTAGATAAGAGTGGATATTGAGTGTCTGCTTAAAGAATCACTTGTATCTTATAACGTATAACCTAAAATACAGATAAATTAATTGAAAAAACTTAAATAGTAAATTATAACAACACGAAGAGTGATGATTTGAAAGAGTGAAGCTAAAATTATAGAAACATTCTCTATAACATGTTAAATTTTTAATTAAATAAGTTCATATATCATAAATTTAAATTTGAAAAATAGTGAATAAGTACATTTATTATCAGATTACCCAACAAGGAATATCGTAATATGATTACAATGATAGATTGACGTAAATTAATAATTGTTATCACTTTTAACTTGGCTAACCATGGAACACTTGTATTAGACATACAGTAATGTATCTAACTTTTGTTATAAAGATTAGAGATAATCATTTCTGTTTAAAGTGTGTAAAACGTTAAAAATTGAATTAAAAAAAGTATAAAATGTCAGTTAGATCTGTTCCACTCTGTATGTCTATTTTAAAATTGAAATAATATTAAAAATATTAATCTAAAACTAAAAAATCATTAATACGTTTTTTCGGGAACAATGTTGTTATCATCAACGTTAAACACATATTAACGCTACTACCGAAAAATCCCCTAATAAACTTGTCACCTAGTGACTTCATCATAAAATAATATTATCACATTTGATCAGTTTACATTAGTGTAATATAGAATTTTTCAGTGTGGTTAGATACTAATTAATTAAATTGTTCTTATTTTTAAAAATTTCTATTGCCTCCTTTCTATTAAGTTCCTTGTAATTATTTACATTTTTAGTTAGTTTTATGATTTTAATGGAGTGATTATGTGTCAATAAATGTTTAGCCACAGGAGATTTATCAACTTTTTGATTATTAACGTTTCTAAAGTAATACCACAATTCTTAAAAAATCTAGCTAGTTAGTATATTTAAAATCCCCAGACATATTAAAATAAGTGACTTAATTACTTTTTGTTCCTCACAATAGTGAGTATACTAGGTGCACTCCTTTCTTTATTCAACATTAGTGTTCAGTCTAATTTTGAAATTACATTTCATTATACCCTTTAAATCTATCTATTTCTTATACAACCCATGTTCTTTATCAAAATCTATTCTATTCATCATATTATTATCTAATTGGTAAACCACACTATTAGATGTCATTTTGTGTTTATAGCTGTGGTTTGAATTGATCAGAATTTACCTAAATGTGAATGATTGAACGCTGTATTAAGGGAGAAGTCGTTCTCTTCTGTCTGTTCTCTTGTATGTTAAATTTTTTCAATATTGAAATATTTGTTCTGTAGGCTGTCCATGGAATATGCAGCAATTTCCCATACAATGTCATTTCAAACAATTTTATTTTCCTACAACAAGATGCACTAATAATTCCTTTTATCCAATCTTTATAACAACCATTTGTTATATTTATCGGAATGCTCAGAAATAAGGCTACTATGTCAAAGAAATTAACCTATAATTAATTTGAATATTATAACCAGATAATTTTTAAACTATGTCAATATTATTTTTAACTGCAAAACAATCAAATTTTTGAATACAGGAAAACACCTTTACTAAGTATTTAGCTAAATTGTAAGTTACAGCATTAATATTTGACATAATAGCTCTCACATTATCTCCTGGCTTTACTTTGAGCTCTTTACGTGATGATCTTAAGTTGTTAACAGAAAATCTCTTTTCTCACTAATAAAGATTGACTACTTAATATAAACTTCACCATATTAAAGAAAAAATAGCTTAAATTATTTAATTTGTGAGTTAACTTTTTCGAGTCACCGTAAATTTTGTTTTCATATTTTATTTATTCATGTTCTTTTATTTATAATTTATTATTACCTTTTTTTTTTTTTTTTTTATAATTTTTAAATATTACCTAATGATGACTAAACATTTTTGTTATGTTCTAGGCATTTGTAAATTTTAATTTTATACTAAATTTGGATCATACTTATTATTTATAATTATTCATTGGAAAACTAATGTATATATTATGGTTTATTTTTCAAGTTGATAAAAGTGGTGATGTTTGCATATCTATACTTCATGAACCTGGTGATGATAAATGGGGGTATGAAAAAGCAAGCGAACGTTGGTTGCCTGTACATACAGTAGAAACAATATTAATATCAGTAATATCAATGCTAGCTGATCCTAATGATGAAAGTCCTGCAAATGTAGACGCTGCAAAAGATTGGCGTGAAAATTATCCAGAATTCAAACGCAAAGTAGCACGTTGTGTGCGTAAAAGTCAAGAAGATATCTAATAATTATGTCGCCAGTTGCTCTATGCACTATGTTACCAACATTTATATCAATTATTGATGCCAGGGTAAACAATTTGTACATTACATCAGCTCTCTCATTTAATTTTTATTAAATTAAATACTATTCTTTTATTTAAGTGAGAATCCTTAAATTTTATTGTTATTTTGTTTTTGTTTTTTTTTTTAACATAAAACAGTTTTTTGGAAATAATTAATTGAACCTTATAATAATTATTTGTTAAATAATATCTGTATGCTACTTTGTATCTTTTTATTAAGACTATGATAACCAGTAATTTAATAAGTCAGTTCCCTTATTTTTATATCTGTTATGAGTATACTACAGAAAATTCAATCATAAATAATTAACCAATACTAATTGAATAAATGAAACATGCTTAATTCATTAATTAAAAGAAAATTACTTCAAAATGAATTCTGTATTACTTGATACAACTTTAAATAGAAACCAATTTTTTCCTATAGTTATTGCATTATTTATTTTTATCTGTTCCTTTCCCCACAACAATTTTCTTTTTTTTTTTAATTTTTTCAATTCAGTTGTTCTGTATGATATATTGAAGTATTAATTTTTATTATTCAAATTATCTTACTAATTCAGCATAAAGTTAATACTTTATGCTGAATTAATTATATATAATATCAATGGTGCTTATATTGTTATTAGTCAACATTTCATTGATATGTTTGCATTATGTTGTGTAATTACATTACATTCAATTTGACTAAAACATTTTTTCAATATTATAATCTAATATGTATGATGTTTTTCAGGTAACAATATTTAGAGCAACCACAACATTTTTTACAATGTGATTTATTAATGTAAGTTTTTCCAATGCCTAATTAAACGTTTCTACAACTGTCAGATATCAGAATTGTATTTTTATTACTACATTTATTTGTTTTTATTTCCTTAGGTAATTTCATTTTTATTAATTCTTTCATAAAATCGATCAAAGAGTAATATAAAAATCTGTATCATAGTTATAACTTAACTAATTAAAGTATATTATAATTATTGTCTGTACCTTTAAAAGTATTAAATTTGAATAAATGTTAAATGTATTATCTAAACAACTTTTATGGATCATCAATACTATAAAATTAATCTAAAGTTAAAAAAAGGTAAACTTCAATTTTTTTTATAACTCAAACTTAACAATTTGGGGAATATTAAAATGCTTTTTTTAAATCTCTTAAACTTATAAGATTTTAATGAATACATTTTCATTATTTGGTATTAATATGAGCAAGTCTAAAATGTTTTATTCTCGTTGAGTTTAAGTATAATTATTTATTTTTATTACTTTTACACTAAACATTGAATTTATTAGTTATGAGCTTTTAAATTACAACTAAAACTAACTTATGTGCATTTAAATATTCCTTTGGGTTTGAATACAATTATTAATCAATTAATTTACTGAAATAAAATACTAATAAATTATTAGTGAATGTAAATAAAATATGAATTATGTCAACCTTTTTTATTGTTTAGAGGAAATAAAAAATTATACAGTTATGCTTGACTAGACTGATAATGTTATATTAAAAATACTGCATTTTAATTTAAATTCAATTTTTTTTTTATAGACTACTAAATGAAATTCCTATTATTTTTCAACTTAATAAATGATATACATATATATAATAAACCATGATACACTACATGATAAGTTCCAGTGATCTGTTAATCATGAATTTATTATTTTTTTATATATAGGTATTAATTTTTTATGTAAAATTATATTATATTAGGTATTATAGATGATATTTTAACTAATTATGCTGCTTTGTCTATTGTAATTTTTACTATTTTTAATCCTTTCCTGATTCAGCTATTTATTTCATTCAAAATGTATTTCACATGGTTTTATTTAATCTAAAGATATATTATGTTTTACAATTTACAAATAATACGCGTCTTAATTGTTAGTCTGCCTGCTTTCATTTGATGGCATGGCAGCTTGTGTGTATATAAAATGTTGGTATTTTTTAACGATCTTACATTTTTACTTCTGAAAATTTATAATTGATTATTAGATTGATACATAGTATCTATCTGATATTAACGTTCACTAAAGTCCAAAAATGTATTACTAGTAACAAATATCCATACTAAACACCTTTGTATAAAGATATTAGGTACTCTAGGGATACAATATAAAATTAGTACAATTAAAAAAAAAACCATTTTTGGACTTTAATATTCTTCTCTTCCGCCTTTATCGTTACTATTTGGTGTCAACCACCCTTATCCTATACATCCACTCATCACATTCATCTTAATTCCTCTCATCATAGTACATAGTACTTTAATGTTTTATAAAAATTATATTACAAATAATGAAACTTAAGATTTTTTTGGAGCAGAAAATATGTGATATTGAAAAAAACAATAGACGAAAATATCTTACACTAGTATTTTTTATTTCTGATTCAGTTCAATGTTCTAAATTTTTATAGTATCATTTTTTCATAACTAATTTAAATCGAATGGGATATGTTTGCTCAGTACTACCACCTAGTATTTTATTTTTCTTCACTAGCTTTTAATTACAAGTAACTGGTAAATTTACGATGGAGGTCCTGGAGTCTAGACTTCTTATTTTAAACTATTTGCGTTATACTTGTTTTCAATACAACTATTAGTATGCAATGAGTATATTATTTAATTTAAATACTTTAAAAAATGCTATCTTTAAAAACCATCAATACTGCAACAGTTTATAGTTCAGTTATTCTAGGTTTTTTTTAGGATAATCAAAAAACTATAATTATAGACGTTTTAGTACAAAGAGACATTTTATTTTCATAACTATCAATAGTATTACGAGTCTCACAAAACAACATGTAGATAGGGCCGTCTACAATTTGCGGGGCATACAAAAAAAAAAAATGTGATGCAATCTCCAAAAAAAAGATTAAACTGCCGGAACCTCTCACATTTAAAAATGTTCATATACTTAAAGATTTTTTGCCTGTTCTCACCTAATTTATGTACAATTTATTTGGTACACTATATAGAAGACCGGTGACGTAACCAAATAATAATTTCGGGAGGGATTAAATTTTTTTCTCTACATAGCTATTTAAAAAAATTATTAAATAAGCATAAAAAAATTTATCACAACTAAAATATTCAAACATCGTTAATAATTTCGAGGTAGTTATAACCTCCTAATTCTGTTGCTGAAGTTATTCACTATTATTGTCATGCTAGAAATTGTTACTAAGTTATTGCTAACTTCACACGCCTGAAATTTAAACAGTGGGAACCTAGTAAAATGAATAATTGTACCTATACTTAAACAATTTATCGTGACCTACATTTATATATTTACTATATGATATAAAGAAAAGTCCAGGGTTAATAAAATAATATTGATTTTGACTAAAATTGCTTGTTATTAAAAAGATAGATAGATGGCGAAGTCTTAACTAATTCGACAAGAAAAAGATATGGTTAATTAATCAAATAAAATTAAAATTGTATAAAAAATATAATTAATTTAAAAACTAAAAAATATTAAACTCAAAAAAAGTTATTGAAAAACCGCGGATACGTATTTTGGAAACAATGTTACCATCATTAACGTTAAACACATACTGACACCCTGACAAATTCCCTTATATACCCCTAATCTATCTATATCACCTAGTGACGTCATCACTAAGTAATGTTATTACATTTAGCCAGTTTACACATATAATTTTTTCAGAGATATATAATTACAGAGACTTTTTTTAAATTTAACTAAATATTAATTATTTGTGTATTATATTATTTTTGATGTACGTTTGTTATAAAACGATACCATTTGATAATTTTACATAAATCAAACGTAGTTTTATACAATTATTGACGTAGAATAAACGTTAATACTATAATTATGCTTAAATGTTTTTGGGTCAAACATTGTTTTCCTAAGCTGTAAGAAAAATGTAGTACACTTAACATTTTTTTACTTGTCGAATCTTAATATATTTACCGTTTACACTTGAAGTAATACAAGTTTAATTGACGATAATATTAAGTGTTAGTTACATTGAAAAACTTATTAAGGGTGATAAATTCATTAGGATATATAAGGGAGCTTTTTTTAGTCGGGGTGTCAGTATGTGTTTAGCATTAATGATGGTAACATTGTTTCCGAAATACGTATCCGCGGTTTTTCAGTAACTTTTGTGGCTTTTTGAGATTAATATTTTTTAATTTAAAAAAAATTAATGCTTTTAATATATTTTTAATTTTATTTAACATTTCTATGTTAAATGTTTTAATTGCGTCGTTTGTGTTATTATTCTTAGATTATCGGACTCCCTTTATTTTTGAAGTCTTAAAATTAAAAAAATGTAGTTCGGTAATTTTTTATATGGGTCTTAAAATAAGATCTATAATATTTGACATTTAGTTGACACGATTAATTATCAGTAGTATAAGTTTGTGTGGGTTTTCTGTATTATTAGTAGGTCATAATGACCAAAAAGAATAATACAATTTTCATTCTTTCAGCAAAATTTGAAAAATTAAAAAAGTCCTTAATGCATATGAATCTTTATTGAAATTTCATTCTTATCAAAATTTATTTTTTATTTTTATTAGTATTTTTGTTAAAAAATCGAATAACCAACTTTATATGTTATTTTACCAAAAGAAGTATTGAACTTTTTAATTGTTTTTAATAATATTTGTTTATTGTAGATTTATTTGATTTAATATTTTATTAACAATAAATGTTTATAAAATAAAAATAAATAAAATGTGAAAAGTTAATTATTAATTCATTTGTGAATCAAGTAACATTAGACAGAAATTAATATTGCTGATGTAAAATAAATATAGTATATTTCCACATGTATTTGATAATAGAATCTTAAACCTACATAATTTGAGCACCAAGTTTAAAATAGGATGTCTAAAAGCTTGATTAAAAAGTCAAACCCAGTTAATTTGCCTATGAATGGTAAAATTAATGATTCTGTATAGTAAACATATATATTAATGTAAAAACTCTACTGTTAGATAATTTTCATTACTCTGTCTATCTAATAAAATTACTAATGTATTTTTTTAAGACTTTTGTTGCAATAAAATTGTCAAGGCAATCAAACTTTTTCATCATTGTAAGTCGCAAGCCAAATGTAATGAAAAATCATCAACAAATGTAAAATATTTTCTTTTTACTAACTGTTTTGATACTGGAAGAATTGACATAATTGAATAAATCGAATTTAATTTCTATAATTTTGTATGTAAATTATGATTGCTTCCCAATTACCTTTTAAACGAAATAACTCGTTAAGAAGATAAAAATTACCAAGAGTAAATTCTAAAAGATATATGCACTAAAAAATAAAACAGTTATAAGGTTTGTAAGTTTGTTATAACTAGCTATCTTAAAAATAATTATTGTTATATTAACATTTTTAATTTAAAAAATGCATTTTAGGTTTCCACAAGTTAGGCACCTCAATTTTAATAAAACAATAGTAACAGTTTTAATAATTGTTCAAAATTAATAACAACAAACCGAATGATGAACAAAATTTTACATAAAATAATTCCATCTTGTAAATTATGATTACAATTCAACATTTGACCTAAATATAAAAGTAAAGAGTAGAAACCCATTTCTTATATTTAATTGTTGAGTCTACATATTATACTAATAAAGGCTAGACAAAAAAAATGTGAAGAAACATTAAAAAATAAACCATCACGTTGCACTTCATGAGTGAAATATTATGTCATTATATACTAATTTTAATGTATACATATATATGCAATTTATTTATTCTTTTACAATAAAAATGCATACACCCAAAGTGGGTGTTAATGTGAAGTAATGCATGATACATATTGTTTGAAAAAAGTCCTTTTTAATCAAGCTCTAGTGATTTGAATGAGGAGGACAAAGACGATTTTTTGCTACTTTTCTTAACTCTTTTCGATTCGTCTGTTTTCAAACGAGATTCCTCTTCGAAGTGGGGCTTCATTAAGTTCATCCATTCTTTAAAATTAACTATATTCAAGAAAAAAATATTTCATTAATTTTAATAGCTATGAATAGTACAAATTATTAATAATCAAAATGTGGATTTCAATATTTCATGAAAACTTAATAGGTATTTAAAAGTCAAGTTAACTTTCATTTTATCTTTCTGTACATTATTATTTGAACAGGAAAATCAATATTTTTTTTCAGTCTCTATGCGTAATTTTTTATAACGATTCTCGATGAAATTAAAAACACAATTACTAAATGGAAGAACATGGAATCCACGAGAAGAGATAACACGATTATACAGAGACTGAGAATGAATAGGTTTTAGGAAACTAACTCATGTCACCCAATGGAAAAGAAAGGTCCTCTTAAATGCAAAACGTGCGGAGTTCAAATCACAGTGAAACATATACTCGCAGAATGTCAGAGACACGCAGAAGAACGAAAAATTGTCCATCCAAGTACGACACCAGGGAAGATATAAATAAACAATTAGATTCTTAAGGAAAAATCAACCGATAAAATTTGAGTTTATACCTAGGTTTTGAGACCTAACTTTATTATAACGTAAAAAATTAATTGTAACTAATGGCCATTGCAACCGACGTTGTACTTTATTATGAAAAAGGAAACATTGAAAAAAATTCGCATAAGCCTAACCTAATCGCTTGAATTAAGTTGTAGGGGTTAAGAAATTTTAATACGTTTTTGAGTATCCTTTAATAGATTTATACGAATGGATTATTTTAAAATCACTATTATACATACTAACACGATTAACAAAAATGAAATGTTCGCTGTACCTCAATGTATGATTTATTTTGCCTACGCGAGATGTTTTAAACCATATTTCAAATGGAATTGTGAAATTAATATACCTAAATGTACTGTTGTGAATATTCAATAGTTTTTTAAATTTGAAATTGAAAAAAATGAACTATCAAATATTTTTAATAAAAACTAATTGAGTAATACGGCACACTAGAGAGATGGTGATTTCCTACAATAAAACATTTTTTTGGGACGGTACTGATACTAATAAGCCGTCTGAGTTTCTGGTTTGCGCAACAAATGTTTCATCACACACATTCATTTATCTAATAGTTCGACTGCGGTAAACATAAATCATAAAATTAGATATTCGCGTGTGTAAAATTGAATAGAAACAAAGTCGTGACGGATGTCTACGACTAGCGATCACGTAAGTGAAAGAACATGAGCGTTAATGAAATGGTGCAATTACAGCGATCACTTAGCGACGCAGCATACGCAAGGCAACTTATTCCGAGTGTCAACTGTGCGTCTGAATAAGCATTATCAGTGTGTTTTTGAGGTTAGTGTATTAAAAATACCGATTTACAATAACAACGAACGATACATGGAAATTCAAAGATATCACGTACCGTGAAACTTCTCGACGGATTGTATGTGACCGCCATAGTCTTCAAACAAACAGCCTTTTGGTAAAGTTCTGTAAATTTTTTCTAAATCTTTCTCTGAGTAAAAATGCAACTGAAACAAATAACAATTTTAACTATTATAATGTCAGACAAGGGTCAAACGTAAATTATTAAAAAAAGAAAGGTTTACAGTTATTTCATTATTAATAGCGTATCCTGGAACACCGACGCAATGGCAGATGCCGCGGTTGTGTAATAATTTGTATATATTTACGGTAGATATCCTAGACGAAATTTTTTAATATCCTAATCACAATTTCCTCGTAAACACACGGTTTGCACTAATGTAACTGGATAAAAGAAACTCCTCTTAAAACGAGACATAAACCTAGTTATGATAAATTTTATCGTAGAATACATCACATTTTATTGTGAAGCCGAACATCTCACATCTTAATAGTCTACGGCTCGTTATGTAAATATTATGTCGACATAAGGTTTAGTTTCACTAAAATGTAATTAAGAAAACAAAAATACATGCAATGACATTAAATGCTGGACAATTTTTTTCATGAAAAAATATTTTATATGTTAAGATTTCCATGTCATACGGACGTACAAATTCTACCGAGTTATTATAATTGTAGCTCGTTAGTATTAGTTAAACGTGTAAATTTTCAATAATGATAATATTAGTACTTTTTAGTAGGTCATAACTGAGGTTTTTATAAAAAATTTTGTAAACAATATCGTTACATTATTGAAAACTAGGATGAATCACACAAAAATCAATCATTCATAAATAAAAACAACCGCTTAGACAAAAAATATACTAGTCTCATTTAAATATAGCTTAAACACACTAATGAAAAAAAAAATCATACGCATCTATTGATACTCTTAAATTCATTTTAGACGTTTACAACTTTAAAATTAACACATAATATTCTAGACACATATTCAGAATGTAAAATTATATTTTAGATATAAATACATTATTAGGAAGAGCATTTTAAAATATAGTAGTCATAAAATGAGGCTATATAATTTTCATAATTGTGGGACTAGCAAGAAAAACCCCATCAGCGAGAGTATCTTTAAATATTTACTTGAACAACTTAAAAATGTTCAACTTACAATGCTCAGTAATTCTTTCTTCATAAAAGGTTTGATAAGCACCATAATTTTATCTATAAGAGCGTGTGAGTTTAAAACGTGAATACCCTTCAGCCGAACTGGAATTCCTTCCTGGAAAAAAATAAGGGTTTTCAATTATATTGAGACAAAAAATTGACGTAGATATTTGTATACAAATTAACTCATTATATTTGAACTAATCGAGATGTTTAGGCATGCTAAGTAGCCAAACACTCCTTTCCTATTTGCACCTATGGTCTATTGACAATAGAAAAGTTATTATTAACACTACTTACTGTGTACATATTTGAAAAATTTAAGGAGTTTTCCCAATACTACAATTTTGTATATGGGTACATTAATTTTCAAGAAGAACGTTGGTAGTTATTTACTAAGGAAATTGCAGATGTCGTTTTAATTTTTATAAATTATGATTTTTTCTATATCTTATAGTAAATATAATGTATAAAATATTAATGTTACAAAGAAATAAAGTATAGTTTACCTTTCTATGAGCTATCTCAAATTTCATTTTCACCGTTAGAGTTTTATATTAATTACAATCATGTTTCCATTATTTTTTCAAAATAAATATAAGAAATCCCCACTTGCAGATATATTTTATAAAAAATCAAATAATCTTTAATAGACGTTGCACGTCTTAAGTTTATCTAAATTAGGGTTGAGATGTTTCAAAAATTTTATTTTAAACTCCATGTTTAAAACATGTTTTAAAGTAAATATAAGTATATTTTTACTTTATTTTGAAAGTTTTTCTCAAATTTCAACGATATAATTAAAATCAAATTTAATAAAAATATGATTTTTAACCATTAACAAACATAGAACTCATCATCATTGCATTCCTGGATAATTCTAAAGTTTACTATTAAAATTTTGTTACAAATAACAAAGTTCTATTATCTCTGTCAATAATATAACCAGAAACTGAATTTAAAGCACCTTTGTCAAGTAAAAATGCGAAAAATCTAATTAAAATATTAATTTTTATTGGTAATTTGTTATATTTCATTAATAATAATTAATAACTGAACATAACAAAATTTCACAGAAGTAAAAATAAAACATTACTTTAAAATTTAACAAAAAATGATTAAACAAAATGAAAAACTTGAATAAAGTTAAAAATTAATTAGACTATTAACTCAATGATCAATAAAGATAACAAAATTGGTAAAATTTTATTAAGAATTCTATTTTGTAGTATTGTTAATACTATTTAGTATGTTATTATACTCAGACTGCGATTTTTATATGTATTTATTTTTTTGTTTTAAACTTGAACATATCGAGTTTGAAACTTGTTTAAAATACAAAAACAATGTATTAAGAAAAAATCGTGTTTAAAATGATTAAAATAAAATTTTTTATTAAAAAAAAAATCGTTTTTTTTTCTCAACTCTGGTTAAACGTTTTACCATATGTTATGCATGAATAAAAAGCAAACGTTATTTGTATATAAATATATATAGAATATATTAGAGTATATATAGAATACTTATATGCTCTAATATGCGATAACAATATATGCTAACGTTTTTATTATTTACTAACATGTCATGATTAATTATCATAACATTTTTTTGAAAATTAAACTTCGAGTATGCATTTTTTAATGACCTTGATAATTGGTTTTATTAAATAATTGATCCATTAGCAAAATTTTAAGGCCACCAATAGTTTACTGCAACTTTTTAACTAAAACTCGTAGTCTGTTATCAGACGATTTAATGTTTTATTTTTACTGGTGTACGCTAAATAATAAATAACAATCTTCTAGATTTAAAGAGGTTTTTTTTTTGTTATTACAAGTTGCGGTACGACTTTGTATTTATTTTTTTTATGTTTTTATAATTTTTTACACAGGTTAGTAGCATACTTGTATAATGAAATTTGTTATTCTGACCACAGGCGTTTTTTCTTGTCGTTCTGTTTACATTCTTTAAAGATACAGTAGATATGTAATGCTTACATAGTTATATTAAGCAGTGGAACTTTATTCCTCATAAAAATCACGATTATATAAAAAATGTAGTAGTAATTCGATTAATTTTTTAAATACTTGTGTTTTAGTTCTATGATAGTTTACTATGATGGAAGATTTGATTTTTACATTTCAAAAATGTTGATTCGTAAACAATTTTCAATGTATTTTTACTTTATTGAAAAGTGCTAAAATTAAGATATCAGCTTTTGATAATAGTCACAGATGTAAAAGAGTACATAGAATCATCAGTAACTTCTTACTTGTATGAATATGAAGAACTTCCTTAGTGATGATACGCTGAGCCTTGTAAGATGACCTAATTTAACTCCTCGCATATCGAATAGAATAATAAACCCTGGACACGTTCCTTCTACCCTCAAACATGCCTCAAGTGACATAAATAACAGTTTGACACCGTCATTGAACACATATTTACTAGATTCAAATAACCGTAGTTTATGATAGATTATTTGATAACCTTCCGGTGATCGAATTGATGGACATCCATAGTGTCTAAAAAAAAATAAAATTTTAATTAGTCAAGTTAATATATTTATTAAACAACCATTATATGTCGATAATTTTATCAAAAATCAATGAATTTTACTACAAAGCAAAGTAATTTTTTTTCAGCTATTTTTAGTCGACATTCTATAATTAATATATATTTATAATTCAAGAAAAACTTCCACTAATAAATGCACTTTTTACACTGCGGAAATATTGTATCTTGTAAGGTTTATAGAAATCACATAACTGCATAACTCAAGGTCATCAAGTCCAAAAATGACCTTAAATTTTTCTACCGGGTATATTTTATGATAATATTTTTTAATACAATTATTGCAGTTATAATATTTTATGGATATAAATGAAATAATTGTAAAAAGGTGTCATAAGTAGGCTGAAAAAGTCTAAGACTTTATAATATCTATTTAAAATTAAAAATATTAATTTAAAACTAAAAAATATTTAACTCAAAAAGCCACAAAAAAATTACTAAAAAATCGTGGATACGTACTTCAGGAACAATGATACCATTATAAATGCCAAACACATTCTGACATGGGCCAGTATATTTTAATTTTAAATAATATTAGCCACAAGTGATCAATTTTTATTATATGAAAATATCTTTGTTTAATTTATATATTTATTTAGTTAAATAAGTTGCATTCAATCATTTTTCTATAATAGATTTTTAAAAAATTTTCAAAAAAAAAAAAGGTTATTGACATCTAAATTTTTTCATAAGATCTAATATTATACAGATCAGAGATTTTTGGTTCACCTTTTTTGGGCCTCCTCCATTGCCACCATTTTTAAACTGATAACAATACCTTTAAATTTTAATTTTTTTGTGAGCCAATTTGTTAATTGAAGGGGCTAAGCTTCTTCTTTTTACGCATGAAGCAAAAAAAAAAACGCGGAACCCAGTCAACATACTTCAACACTAGATCTGTTTAACGGACAGTAAAACATAATTTAGAAAATTATTTTATCACTATATGAAAAATATTTGCAAACGCCCTGCTACACACCATCTTTTATTAATAAATTACATAAAAATGGGTTAATAACTATATCCTTGACAATAACTTTCTATTTTATCTTTCATTAGTTATCCATAACAAAATAAATATAGAAAAATAACTGAGAACACAGTGTTTCAGTAAACTCAACTTTGAAAAATTCAACAAAAAAAATTTTTAATGTCACATGAGTTTTTTCATTAGAACTGTTATTAAATCAACTCAAAATATTTTAAATTGAACTTTGAGGCTTAATATTCCTATTTTCTAAATTATATGTAAAAAATCGTCTATAATAATGAACGAAAAGCTTGAAAATATTTTATTAATATAATAATTTTTAATTAAAAACTTCAAAACATATTTGCTAATAATTGTTGTAAAACTTTCTCTGAATAAATAATCATTTTATTTAGTTATAAACAAATTAAAAGTATCATTCTAAAAATAAATTACTTTATTGTATTGAAATTTTAAATAAATCATTTTATAATAAAAAAAGGTATGACACAATAACAAAGATAACATAAATTAATTTGTAGTTTCATGAAATAACGATTGTTTAAAAAAATAATTAGTCATAAATATAAAAAAAAAATTTTCAGAACTAAATTTTTCATGTTTATTTACATAAATAATTAAAAATGAATTGTTGTATATTAGTTATTTATTATTATTTGAATAGTCTATAATGCATAATATGCCTCAAGATAACGGGAAAAGCGATTCAATAAAATTAAAGTTTGTGACCTTAAGCTAAATTAGTATATTTTATACGTTATATTAGAAGTTAACCTAAGGTGACAAATATCCTGTTAAAAAAAATAAGTGTACATAAATTCTAACTTTATAAATAGTGACTATTGTTTATTATAACTATATACTGAAAAAAAAATATTTTCATGAATTATAAAAATTTCTATGTTGCATCAATAATTATTTATGAAATCAAAAATTCTAATTATTGGAGGCATTACTTAAATATATGACAACTAATTTGATTGATAAAATAATTTTTATATTTATAATTATTAATATAAAAATAACATTTTATTTTCTATTATATTATAATATAATGGAAAGTGAAATATCAAATAAATATATTAGAGAGATTCACATATTCCTCTCCAAAAACAGTTGATAAATTAGTAAAAGGTACCTATAGATTTTTTGTTTTCAGTATTTTAAAACTTAGTGTAAAATTTTTTTTTTCTAAATAAGTAATACCAAAAGTAGAGAATTCTTTAATTTTTTGCTAAGTAATAAATTAATTTTTATGTAGTAGAAAATAATTACATAATGTAATTATACTTTATACTTATATATAAAATTTTTCCTAAAAAACTATATATTTCATATAAATTAATTTTGATAGAAATTACAAAAAAAAATTTTTTTTTACAAAAAAAAAAAATAGTAAAACTTTTGATGAAAAATGAAAATATAACTTTTTAGGTGTTTTTAACAGGGATTTTTTTACGTCGCAATTGAAATATGATGATTAAATATGATTTAACAAGGACGAATAACATATAAAATTTATAGTCTATTCAAAGTTTCATTAATTCAATTAAAAATCCATTAAATGGATAAAAAAATTTTTTATATTTTGTTATGGATAATTATTTGATATATATTTATATTATAAATATTTTAACTTAAGTTTCTCAATAAGTTCATTAAGTATGATTTTGTTACCACTTACTTCCCTTTTTTTACTCTAACTGGTTCAACAAAATTAATGTTTTTTTAATATTCACCGACGTAATTACGTAGGATGATATATTTTTTTTATGACAAAAATAATAATATGGTAAATACAATTTTTTTTCGTCGGAAGGGGTAGTGAAAATTTTTCTCATGTATATCTACCCATTTAGGACGATTCTCTAATTATGACACTGGGGCTTTTTAGAACATATATTTTACAATTTATTAATCATATCAAATCATTTTTCAATCCATTCCTTGGGATTAAATCGTAAAAATAGATTCACTCTGTGTAGTTTTTTAATAAATTATATGTAAATCATATAGATAGTGTGTGGTTTCATGGGGATCACGTTATTTGGCCAACAATATAATTAAAAATATTTCAAACAATTATCTTTATAATTGACTAATCATCGTCATCTACTTGGCCTCTATATCAATTATTTGAGACTGGTTCTACTTTACGAACTAACAGGTTTTTACATCTGCTGTTGACTTCACGTAACCGCATTATGATTGAGTGTGTCAGTGAAGAGAAAAGTAAATATCACTGTTAAAATTCCCGTAAATCTTTTCAGAAAATATAAGTATAAAAATACGATTAATTATTACAGCTAATGTTGTTGAATAATAATACAAGTCAGTAATTGTTTATGTGTTGATAATGAAACTACTTCTTATATTTTTTACTTTTATAGGCATTAATAATGCATGCTTATGAAGGGAAAAAAATATTGATTTTAATACTAATTGCTTTGTTGTAGTGTCCAAAAAGGAAAATATATAACGGTATTTTTCCCTTCTAAAATAAAAATGTTTTTAGCTAGTGCTCTTTTAACTGCATTTCGATTAATTAATCAAACCAAAGTAAATATAATATGTTTAGTATAAATATAAATTATTTGGCAAATAATTGTTTATAAATTGAAAAAATATAATTTTTATTATATGTTTATAAATTATTTATTTATAAGACACCTACAATTTTAAGTACTTACAGAACGTCAAGAGCTTGTATTAGTTCTTGTCTAGAAACATCCCTGTCTTGGAAAAATTCTGGTGCTTCAGTTTTTAATGAGTAGTAAACTTCTATACAATTTTTTGTCGACTCAGTATTATAATAACAGCTGTGATAAAATAATATTAGCCATTCATCTGCAAGAACACGAATAATATTTTAAAAGTTTTATTGCACTAAATAAAGTTTATTTATTATCTTTATTTATCTTTTTATTATTTTTTTTATTATATTTATTAATCTTTTGAATTCAGCAGCAAAAGTAAGTAGTTTTTTTAAATAAAAATATCACGCACGCATTAAATGCAGGTCTTAATTCACCAAATCATAGGTCCAGTGTAATTAAAAATATAATATAATAATAATAGAATTATTCAATAATTCAAAAATATAAGAATAATATTAATTATAAATTCTATTAGAGCGTCTATAATAGAATTTTAAATAGACATTGAAAAATAACATTTAAAAGAACATAACACATTTAAAAATGAAGTTATGATAAAAAAATTAATTTCTTTTTTAGATGATAATACAACTTTACTTTAAATTTTCGTATCAAAAAAAATAATTTATAGAATAGTTTCCAATTTTGTACAAATTATTGTTACAGTAACATTAATATATTTAAGTCATGAAAAAAAAATAGTAATACCACGAAATATATCAGAGAAAAATATATATAAGTGTTTAGTATGTAAGGAAACAGGTCAGATGATACAAACAGCGAGAACAATATGAACCTGTTTCCTTACTTACTGAACATTTCATATATTGTCGTAGTCAAGCAGTTTGTAATATTGTATGAAATAACCATGTTTTATACTATTATTATACATAATTTACATTTGTATACTTCTACATAAATTAATATAAAACATTATACTTAAATAAATCATCGTACTTATTACCTGTTATAAGATTAAAGAAATACGAGGTAAAACTGGTCGATATGATTAGCGAAACAACCTGTTAGTTAATTATAGAAGTTTATTAATAAGAACTATTAAGATAGTGAATGGTATATTTAGGCTGTACAAAATATTAGATGAAAATTCGAATATTACTAAACTCTTAGCGGGATTTTTTGTAAGGTTAGGCCTGATGTTTATTATTTTATTTTAATTAATATAATTTAATAAATTTAATATATTCATAAGATAAAAATTATTTTTTCATTTTTCTTAGATTATGAAAATAAATAAATAAATATATATATATATATATATATATATATATATTTATACACTATTTATTATATGAATTAAATATAAAATAATAATAACTTATTAACATAATCCATTTAAAATTGGTTAATGATCCTTTTGACATATACGCTTCTGTAGTTTATATAATTTGCTACGCATCAATTATTTTTATACATTTTTTATAAATTCTTATTGTTTTAACAATTTTTTTGTTAACCCTTGTTACGACTGCTTATACAAAAATTTCAATTACTAATATATAGTAAAGCAAAGTAAAAAATAATTTTTATGAATATTTCTAAACGTTGATATTACACTGAAATATGATTTATTTTGATATTTTAAAATATATTCAATTTGATTAGTAAGTAAATTTTGTAATACGTGTTACGTTTAAATCTGTAGTGAGCAATTCTATAACATTAATAACTATCATTTTAGTTGTAGTATCACTCACTATAGCAAAATGATCTATTCAACAATGTAGAAAATAGCGGTGGCTATAAATGACTTTTGGATTGTCCTTTTAAATAATAATTTTTTTAACTACTTTAGAATTTCCTGCCAAGCTGATCTGACTATAAATATAAATACTGAAAGAATAACAACCTAGAAGGCAATTCTCTAAAATTGAAAAATCGTACAACTTAATTTGAAAAATTCCTATTTAAAATAATTTACTCAAATTCCCATTTAGGAGATAAAAAAACGTATTTCCATTAATAATTTCTTTTAAAATAAAATGCATTCAAATTTATTAAAAAATTTGGATACAAAGATGGCTCAAAGAAGCAGTAGGGTGGGCAGTCATCCCATTAAATCAAATTTTTGCCCTTCTCTGGGCAAATATTTTTTATTTGTATTTTTTATTTAATATTATTTAATTGATAAATTTTAATTCATCATTAAAATTGTGTTTTTAATAAAAGTATCACTAATAGCACATTAGTGAGCACTGTCACTCAAAAAATTGACTTGCCCTTTTCGATCAATTTAAAGAAAATTCTGACACTGTGACTGATTTTATTACTTTATAAGCTAGTTTAATAATAATTTATATTTATTATTAAATTATAAAATTAAAAATACTAATAATTGTTTTAAAAGTATTAATAAGAAATATGTCAAAAATCTATTTTTATTGATACGCTTGTTGGTAATTATAATTATAAGGTCGCAGACAAATCATTATAAAGTTTTATCATAATTTTTTTAAAATGGTCTAGTTTTAGAACTTTGTTCTGATAATTTTATTTGGAATGAGAAATTTAAATGCATTTGCATTTACTATTCATTAAAAATAATGTGAGTGCACCCATGAATGTAATTCATTAAATAGGAATCAAATAAAAGTAATACATTCTTTAAAGACACTATTTTTTTTTTAATGATTTGATTTAAGTTTCACTAATTTTAATACAGCTTATGATAATATTGCTCCCTTAACCAGTTGTCAGTGTGCACTTAAATAAAAGTTTTGTTTATTAGTTTGAGTTTAGTATAATTAATGTTTTAATAATACAACAAAAGACTCTAACGGAATTATTTTTTAAATAATGTTATAACAATGTTTTAAAAATATTATTTTTTTTAATTTTTATCTGAGAAATATTTAATTAAATTTTAAATTAAAGGGTGTAAAATATTTATAAGTACATTTTGAAACTAAAAAAATATTTTAGTAAAATGTCGTCTTTGAGAAAAACATAGTTGCTTTACAGTGTTACATAGTAGTAATTTTTATTAAAATTAATAAGTAATGTGAATTGAGAGCAATAAGGTTCAATGAGACTTTGAAATTAAATTTACTAATTAACTATTCCTAAGTAACTCTTAAATATTCAGCAACTCTTTAAGTGTTTTGTGACGTCATTCTATCAAAGTCCTAAAGATTAAAATAGTAATGAAATTATGAGTAGCTAAAACTAATCAATATACATTTGCAATAATTAGTCAAAAAGTTGAGAAATTTATGTGCATTCAATAATATAACTTAAATACAGATAAATTCATTTTTTCAAGTTCAAATTTTTTGAATGTTTTATATCAAGGTTAACTTGTTTCAGTATTTAAAATATACGAATGTATAAGTAAACGGTATAATTAATGAACGTATTTGCGTCTACCCCATAACATTAAATTTTTCCTTGTTATTAAGTTTTCTATTACCGAGAGTAATAATTTCTTAAAACAATTATATTTCATAGTTTTAATATAGTATTATATTGAACAACAATAATTAAAATAAATTTTTGTACCAATAATAATTGAAACATGTTTTTGTACTAATAATAATGTAAATTATTTGAAAATAAATTTAATTGCCAACTCAAATGAAACATAAGATTTAAAAATAATCGCTATATGCAAATCTATATACTCACTGTAAAATTGTATTTTATCAAAAAATAAGGATCCATCAGATTTAACCTATTTTTACGAAATTCTAGAATTTAATTTGATAGTTTTATTTTTCAAAATAGAAATTGAATTAATCAGGATAAATTATCTTATGCTTTATTTCATAATTGTAGATTTACTACCCATTTACAGAACACATACAAATTATTTTAAAATATCATTTTTATATTTCTATATATATTAAAATGGAAATAATTGCTTTTAATATTATAAAAATATAAAAAGTTAAAAATGTTCTGATTGATGTTATTCAAAATCATTTCGAAATTTATTTTTACAATAAATGCATCAAATTATGTGATGACTAGTATTTTCATTTATTATACAACATAATAAATAATTATAATAATCAAACTTTTAATAAAATAATATTACATAAAACAACGTTGTTTTATGTAAATGGAAATTAAAAAAATCAACGATACAAAATAGCGTTACAATATTATGATAATTAAAATATTGTGAACGTAAAAAAATTTAATTTAAACAATAGAAATGTTTAAAACATTTTTAAAATAATAATAAGTACAGGTGGGTAAGTTTTCTTGATACTTATACGTGTTTTTTAGAATAGAGTAAATAATTATTTTTAAATTAATTTATTTTTAACAAAAAACAGTGGGGACGTGGCATAGTTGGGTCAAGTATAATGATATCTGACAGTGATTAAAATCACTATCATAAAAATCGCTTCGATGCAAATCTGTAGATAGTGTTAAATTTCAAAAAATTGGTGGATGACACCAAAAGCTACATGATCTCCTATTTCTTTATTTATATTCTGATTACAAATTTTATGATTTATAAGTGTAATATATATAAACATGTAAAGGGAAATGGTTTTATTTAAAAAAAAGTATGTCGCATAAAATAATAATATAAATAGTACTTATATTAAAAAAATTATAATATTCCATACATTTTTCAAAATGTTATAGCGTTATAAAGTTAAAAATATAAAAAAGAATTTTTCTACAAAAAATTATATTTTTATAATTAACTTTGATGTCCATTTTTACCATGAAAACAAAATAAAGTCCGAAATTTTTATTTCCCATAATAAAGTATATTACATAAACTTTAATTTAAGATATAGATAAATGTGTCAGTATTTTCGGAACACTTTCAAAAGTTAAGTTGAAAAAGTTAATTTTTTATGAAAAAGTTGTCATTTTGAAAACCTGTAGGCAGGTAAAGGGTCTCTATAAAAAAATAATTATATTTATTTGGTCATCTTTGAAAAATGTATGGCAGTTTTAAGTAAAAATAATTGAAAAAAATATCGAAAATTAACGATTTTTAAATTTGTAATTTTGTGGAGATTTTCCCCATTTACGAGGAACGAGGGAAATTTATTTAATTTTTGAGGGTAATGTCTTCGACCAGATACAATTTGTTATATTCTGACGTATCGTTGAATGAAATCGGTTCGGTGAGAAATGAGAAAAACAGACCCAAAAAAAACACATCATAGTAAAACTAATACTTTCTCAGCTTCGCATCGACGCTAAAATATTTTGATTTAGAATTTGCTTGTAAATTTAATAAATAAATGTTCTGACACTACATTATTTTATGAAATACATACTCTTAATATTGACGTATATTATAAGAGTTTTGGAATAAAATATTTTTATTATTTTTTCTAGGTAATTGAGTATTAAAATCCTATTTTTATTGTTAGCTATACATAAAAAGTCTTCTTCTTCCTCGCCTTAATCCCAACTACTAGGTCGGCCACCCTTATCCTAAACTTCCAGTTAACACGATCTTTCACATCCTCTAAGCTCACATCAGTTGTCCTCATATCCCATTCAATAACATCTTTCCAGCTCTTTTTTGGTCTTCCTCTACCTCTTCTTCCTTCAACATTAATTTCTACAACTGTTCTTACGGCTTCCGATTCTTCTCTTCTCATAACATGACCAAACCAGTCTATTTTCTCTCATATTATCCACGATTGACGCTACATCTATACTCCCTCTTATATGCTCGTTCCTTACCCTATCTTACCTAGTCACTCCACTCATCGATCTAAGCATTCTCATCTCTGCTACACTTATTCTCTTCTCTACTTTCTTATCAATCACCCAACACTCTGAACAATTCATTATAGTTGCCTTCACTACAGTCTTGTAGAATTTACCTTTTAGCTTCATTGAAATTCTTTTATCACATAAGACGCCAGATGCTTCTCTCCACTTCAACCACCCGCACTTAACTCTGTGTCTTACATCCTCGTCAATACCACCACTCTTTTGCACAACTGACCCTAAATACTATAACTCTCCACCTCTCCAATCACGTCCTCGCCTATTGTCACTGACCTCCTCATTTCACCTACCTCGTGTTCACCTTTGTCAAACTCGTACTCTATATACTCTGTCTTACTTCTACTTATTCTTAAACCCTTTTTTTCAAGAGCTTTGAAATCTTTGGATTATTGAGTTGCTAAAAAATTGTTTTTTTTTTCATAAATAAAATAACCATATGTTAAGCAAAATTAAAATAAATTTTTTCTTGTTGTTTTAATTAAACTAATGAATATTTGTTAAAATTTAAATTAAACTAAAAATATTAGTTTTTTTTATCAAAAACTTGTTTTTAAATCTAATTAATTCAAAAACAAAATGAATAGATTAATTAAAATATGAATTGATTTATTTTTTTGAAGTATGAATATGACCTATAATATTTCTTATTGTAAAAAGTCAATAAAGTATATTTTTATAGAGACATAATAAAAGGTATTAAAGTTTAATTTTATGATATAAAATTGTTTCGCAAATATTTCATGCTCATACGAGAAAGAGGTGGATTGGAGTTAAAGATACGGGAAATTTTTAAAAATTGGCGTTGAGTTTTAATATAAAATAGTCAAGCCTTGTCCTTAATTTTTTTTTTAATATTATGTTTTTAATTTTACAGTACATCGTGAAAATTCCTAAATACCCGATGAGTTAATCTGTTTATAGAATAAATAATAATTATAATATAATAAAGCATATCTTAGTGATATAGATCATTGTTTCAAATATAGTATATATTATCTTTTTGCCGTTGACTTAAAAATTTACTGCACTATTTTTGATTCTTTTGGATTATATAAGTTCTCAACAAACTTTCTTCATAGTGTCTCACGAATATTTTTAAGTTACGTGGTCTAATGTAACTAATTATAAAAAAATTATTTTTCACTGTAAATTAAAAATAATTAATTTTACGTCCATAACTTTTCGAGATAGTCTTTAGTACAAGTTAATTCAGTAAGTTATCTGGATACGACTTTCCAATCCGACCGGCTCATCTCTAGCCACGTTAATAATATTTGTACAAAAGCTCTTAGAACTATGGGTTTATCATTTGAGTTTAAAATTTTTTAATAATTTCATACACAATAGTATATTTACGCTAAGGCATATTTACTTATGGTAGGTCGTGTTGTGGTTTTTATGGTTGTTTATTATTTTTGTACCTTATATTTAATTACTTTACTGTATTACTCTTATTTTTTATTTATTATGTTTAATACTTTTTAATTATATAGGGTGTTCAGTAAGTTACGAAATGGGTTTCTATTGTTCTCATTATTTAAAAGAGTATGCCTGTTTCCCTACTTTTTCAATACTTAATAGTATATTGACTTGAGCTAATAGGCATTTATACAAAGTGTTCAGTAAGTTAGTAAACAGGTAAATTGTTACAAACAATGAAAACAATAGAAAATCATTTCCTTACTTACAAAACACTCTATATGTATACTTATTAATAACAATAGAAATGAAAAACTAATAACACTAAAGAAAAAAGTGAAAATATTTAATAATTAAAAAATTAAACTTATATCATAAGTGTCAATAACAACAAACCTGATACGTTTTGTGGAAGATGTGGTTGTGTGGCTATCCAATCTTTCAACTTTTGTATGTCCTCTTTTTTAATTTCTGGGTTTTTCTTGTATTCCTCTTCAGCCGTTATAAGTATAGTGCTTTTTTCTTTTATTTTTTTAGACTCTAATTAGATAGAATATTAGTTAATGATTAAATTAAATTTTAACTATCACTACTTAATAATTCAATTGCATATTTGTTTATTGATTATAATTTTCTATTATCTAACTGAGAGAAGATTCAATTAACATTTCGTTTATACTGATACATAAACAAAATGTTAATTTTCTATAAAATTAAAAAAAAAAAACCCAGCACAGGGGGGTCGCGGCACAGTTGTGACGTGGTATAGTTGGATCAAGTATAATGATATCTGACAGTGATTAAAATCACTATCAAAAATAAACGCTTCGATGCAAATCTTTAGATAGTGTTTAATTTTAAAAAAATTGGTGTTTTATTCCAAAAGCTACTTGATCTGCTGGTTCCTTATTATCTCGATTAAGATAAAGTATGTCGAATGAAAAAGGGTTTATTAAAAAATATTATTTCTCATAAAAAAATTGTGTGGATCCATAAACTTTTCAATAAGTTATAGCATTATAAAGTTAAATATAATATGAATAATAAAATCGAGAATTTTCACACGAAAATAGCATTCGGTAGCCATTTTCGCCGTGAAGAAAAGTCCAGAGGTCAAATTTTTTTTTTTCAAATTAAAGTATATTACATTAGCTTTAATTTAAGATATATATAAAAGTGTCAGACCTTCCGGAACATTTTCAAAAGTTATGTTGAAAAAGTAAATTTTTTGTGAAAAAGTTGTCATTTTAAATCCCCCCCTGTGGGCAGGTTAAGTGTCAGATTTACAAAAAAAATATACCAAATGATAAGTAAAGACATCAAGCATCTATATAAAAAAAAATTATATTGATATGTTCATTTTTGAAAAAGTATTTAGTAAAAAAAATTTAAAAAATTTCGAAAATTAGCTATTTTTAAATTTGTAATTTTTTATTAACTTTGATGTCAACTTTCACCACAAAGACAAGTCCAGAGGTTAAATTTTTTTTTTTCAAATTAAAGGATATTACATAAGCTTTAATTTAAGATATATATAAAAGTGTCAGACCTTCCGGAACATTTTCAAAAGTTAAGTTGAAAAAGTTCTACTTTCTATATGCATTTATTATATTTGAAGCCCCCCCATATATAGGGAAATAGTCTGATTTAAAAAAAAAGTATATCCAATGAAAGATGTATATAAATACTACTTCTCATGAAAAAATTGTATTGATCCATACATTTTTTAAAAAGTTATAGCACTTTAAAGTAAAAAATGTAAATTATAAAATCGAAAATTTTCACACAAAAATAGCATTCGGTAGCCGTTTTCACCATGAAGACAAGTCCAGAGGTCAAATTTTTTTTTTTCAAATTAAAGTACATTACATTAGCTTTAATTTAAGATATATATAAAAGTGTCAGACCTTCCGGAACATTTTCAAAATTTAAGTTGAAAAAGTTAATTTTTTGTGAAAAAGTTGTCATTTTAAATCCCCCCCGTGGGCAGAAAAAGGGTCAAATTTACAAAAAAAATATATCAAATGATAAGTAAATACATCAAGCATCTATATAAAAAAAAATTATATTGATATGTTCATTTTTGAAAATGTTATAGCAGTTTTAAGTAAAANGACTTAAGTTGACAAATCTATAAGTTATAGAGTTAAATTAAAGATGATTCTAATAATTAATTAACAGTTAATAAACCAAGAAATATAAATAACTGAAAAAAATAATCTTTTTTCATTACTATGTTAATTTTACAAGTAATTAAGTGATTTAAGGAATACCGATAACTAGTATGATTGAATTACAAAATCACCAAAGAATTATAAAAACTACTTACAATCACCATCAGATGGAAATCCGTTTGGTGAGAGCTGAGAAAATATGGTACCAAAAAAAAAAAAAAAAACACATCATAGTAAAACCAATACCTTCTCAGCTTCGCATCGAAGCTAAAAACTTTTAAGTGAAGAAAATTATGAGAATGGCGCAGACAAATCATGAAATAAATTAGTTATTTAATTTTCTAAACCCAATATTAGCCAATATTAGTATATTTTTATTTGATTTATAAATAAAATAAAATATATTTTTTCGGTTCTCATTTCTATTGCAAGAAATTAAAATAGGTTTCATTAAGTTATTGATGAAAATTATTATTTAAAATATATATATCAATGTAGATCATTTTTAAATAGGTTATTTGCAACTAATGGCTAATCTAAAACAGCTTCGGCGACAGTGTTAAATTTTAATACTTTATATCTGAAGCCTTTTTATATCCCTATAAGTATTTGCAAAAGTATTGGTTGGAGTATTTGTCATAATTTTATAAAATTACTACAAATAAAAGTTGATGAGTAAAAAAAAAAAATTACTCTTATATTAAACTTCTTAATTAAATAAACATAGCTATAAATGACAAAAAGAGCTAAAATTGAGGTGATTTCAAAGTTTCCGGGGGCTGAAGACCCCCTAAAGTATACCTAGATTTAACACTGGTCGAGGGAAACCAGACTATTTTTGTTGATCTAAAAAGTCGAAAATAGAAATAACGTAGTGCAATTTTAATCAAATTAAATAATACAAGTAATGTATATTACAAGAAATGTAAAAATTTTATTTTTAATTGTTGTACACTTATTGTTTATTTTATTTATTTATTTAAAAACGTGGTTTACAAAGTAATTGAAATATATTTCAGAATTTTATTTTATTACATAACTGTCAAAATAACTTTTAATTATTATTACGTAAAACAGTAAAGATATTGATGTTATTTTAGAAAAATTATATTCGTCCAATGTAACCAATGTAACAAATTTTATCAAAAATATATTTACTTTTTTCGTCTTATTATTTTGATTTCTGGTCCACTGTCACACTATATCATTTTTTTTTAGCATATTGCACTATGTACGTACTACATATGTAACATGAGGTTCTGGTATAAAATTTAGAGAGGTTCCGAAAGAATATATGGTCTTCTACCCATCTTAATGATCCATTTATAAGCTTTATAGGTGGTTTATCCCCCTTTAAAAATATAATATTATATTTTTTGCTATGAAAAAAATTAATTTAGCGACCCCAAATTTTTTTATTTTATTTGCGCCAATGAGTCCACTCCTATCTAGATTTTTTCATTAAAACATTGCAGAATACTGTTGAAAAACAAATATAGTATTTTTACATCATAATGATTTTATAAAAATGGTAGTTACTTATTAAATTAAATAATCTAGTATTTATACAATTTCAATATTATTTGAAAATTTATAAGTTAGATTTTAAAATGCGGGAAAAAAATATTTCATCGTTATGTTTATTAAAAGTTGAAATAACATTTTTCCTTACCTTGAAAAGTTATTCCATCGATTTCCTTAATCAACGACATAATTACAATTTGAAAAAACCGTGAAGAAATATTAATCAAATTCGAAGAAAATTAAATGAATATCTACTCAAGTTACAACAGCCACGTTTGTTAGCTATTCACTGACTGTTTAATAATTTGTTTGTGCCTGACCCATAGATTGGCAGACATCAAATCGCAATGCCCTTATGGAAATAATAATACAATTATAATGCGAGATGCACATTTCTTCTTGTACCGACTATTCGTAGTAACAGGTGGGGGTAAACAGTAAAAACAATGATAGCAAAAGTGGAAACAAGGTCTGCGTGACAAGGCTCTTCGTCTAAAATTCAACAGCCAATTGATATTTTATAAAATAAAATAACGAAAAATGGCTTAGTATTATTTTTATGAAATACTAAAAATTCTTATATAAGCTTCACTATGACTGTATGACTGTAAAAATAATTGATTTTTATCAAGTTATACTGATTTATAATTTTTCTTAACAAGTTTATTGGAAATCAAAAAATTAATTCAATTTGTCGAAAATTTAAAGTCAAATTTTAAATTCAAGACTGAATTTATGATCAAACGAACATACGATTATTGAAAATAGTAAAAAGTAATGAGTACGAATTTCACACTTAGTGATACAAACTTGTTTTCATATAATAGTGTATTACATAATGTAATTGCATCAATGAGTTTTCTCACGAAGGATGAAAATTAAACATTTTTACATATAGTAACGAGGAGGAGCGAGTGATAGGAGTACAAATTATCAGGTTCGTGACCCTCTAAAATAAAACCGGCGCGTACCATTTTTTTAATTGCTGCTATATTAATACATAAACCAAAATATTATTTTTATTTTATTATGTATGGTTACTTGTGTTTAACAAGTAACCAAACACAATAATAGAAATATAAGTAAAAATAGTTAGTTTAATTCAACAAAGAGGAAAACAATATTCCTCCAAAAAAAACAAAAAAAAATATTGAAGTCTTGGATATTGTTGGGAGTTATAAGCAGGGTCGGATTAAGACCTATGTGGGCCCTGAGGTGGTACCTTAAAATGGTTCCTATGGAAAATATCGCTACTATAAGTATGATGAACAAAAAAAAGAAAAACTGTATGTCACGAACAATGATAGACTAGTAAAATTTATGATGGACTCTTTAAGCTTATTGATTCACATATTGTTCACTCCTCTTTAATCCGAACATGGTTGTGAGAGTATACTTTATAGATTCTTAAATTAGTAACGTGTCACAAGCGCGACTGTTTAGTGAAGATTTGTCATACATAAAATATCATAGTATAGAAGTGATTATATTATCATAAGATTTATGTAAATATGTACGAGAGGTTTACCGAGATTTTCTTGGTACCTCACCTAAACTATATGAGGCTGACGTTACCCAATGTTGTAAAATCAATTTTGTTGAAAGATAACCTCTTATTGATCACTTATATCCATCCGTATTTGGCGAGGCGTCATGATAGTTAAATGCGCTATAACTTTAAAGTAGTATACATTTAACTAATAAAAAGCTTAGAAATACAATTCAACGCTGAAACTATAAAAAAATCTGTTATTAAAATTATAATTACCTAAAATAAATCAATGTTCGAGTACGAGTAAATAGTTAGGGACTTAGTATAGGCAACTTATTAGTCAAACTTCGATTAATAATCTGAAAAGAATGGTGGATGAGAACTCAAATGAAGGCAGTTTACTGATTTCTATTAAAGTAATATTGTCAAGTGAAATTATTTTCTTACTAGCTATTTAACGATTTTTGTTTTCAATATTACCTAAACAAAAAACTGACGGATAAAATTTGATACAAATATTAATGTTAAATTAAAATAAAATAGTAATAAAAACAGCTGGCTTCATTAAACTCGTCAAATTTGTCAAGAATTCAATTTTAGAAATGTAACTTGGAGTTTCATTTCTTTTCAAAAAGGTTCAATATATCCATTGGTAGGTAAAGTTAATCATCTAGAGTATGTAGAGATAGCCCAATAAATATTAAGAAAGAAAACAATTGACATTATTGGATTGAATAAATTTTATTATTATTTAAAAAGAAATCTTCGACAAAAATAAATGATGACATAACCACACTTAAATATGGCACAATACTGCATATAATTTTACATTTGACATATTGAATAAATACAACATAATTTAAATATAATTCAAACTATACTACTACTGTTTAATTTATAAATTAAAACGTTTTCTTGCATTTTACCTATTTCAATCAGATTATATATGCGATAACGCTCATTTTCACAGAGCAAGTTTTCAATAAAATTTTAATGAAAATACTATAATTATGACGAAATTTCATTTTTATTTTAAGTATAATAATATATATAATAACATAGCTCGAAATAAAATATTTATTAAAATTTTTAACAAATGTCCCATTTTTATATTTTACTTCGGTAAGTTTTGTCTAGATGTAACATGTATTATATTATAGTTTATATGTTATAAATAATTACTAAGTAGTAATAATATTATACTTAAATAAAAACAAAAATAAGTTACACAAAATTTATAAAAATAAATAACAAATTTTTATTAAGTATATATATTAATTTTTATGTACATTTGAATAATAAAGATGGGAAATGAGTTGTAAAATTAGTTGAGGTCTTATTAGCTCTTTAAATACAACAATAAATATTTACGTGATGTACAGAATTATTAAAAATTATTATCAATTTTACACTTAAACAAAATTAAACCATTTGATAAATCTGTATAATTTTAGGTACTTTGGTAAACAAACATTATTTAAAATACATTACACATGTGTTAAATGTTTTGTTATGTCGTTGACACTCAATTTATTAATATGTTAACATAACAAACAAATTCGCTTAAGTACCCTGTTGGTATTTTATTATTTATGAAGTAATTGAATGAGTCATGATATTGTTACATATTACACTTTTTTTAATCTTAACAAAAAATTATTAACTATTTTAAACTAGTATTTATTCTTTTTATTTTAACAAACATTCCAAATTATTTAACCAGTTNTATGTAATGTACGTTATCGCATAATCGACTATCGTAGCCCAATTTAACCGATAATTATGTGCAATGTACATTCCAGGGAATAGTATTAAAAGAACATAACATAATGTGTATTAATAGAAGTACATACACGTGTATTAGTATTAAATATTTGTTTACAAATAGGTATGTAGACGATTCCGTGGAAGACAGCGGATAATCCGCAACGCGGATAATCCGCTCGCGGATAATCGGGAGTTTACTGTATAAGAAATTATTAAAACAAATGACAGTCTTCATATAAAGGATTCAGTCAATTATTTGTTTAATAATTTTGCAAGCATAAAAAAGAATCATATCTACAAAGCTTTATAGTATAATTTATTGTTTTTACAAAGTAATAATGTGTTCATAAAATTATTAAAATATAATCAGTAAAAACACTTCAAACACTGAAAAGTTAATCATTTCAAAATTAATTTTTATCTCTATATGTTATACAACTATATTTACAAACAGAAGTACTTCATTCTTTGAAATTCATAACAGATCAAATAATCATTCATAATATGAAGCATTATACAATTATGACTTCAATTTAATTTGGTTGACTTATGATAAGCATTTTTTATAGAGCGATAGTATTTACAATACATTAAACATTACCATCAAAATATTATATAAATAAGCTTAAAATTGTTTTCCTCATACTATAATTGTTGTATACTTTTATAAATGTATTTTTATTTACATCTATTTGTATTACTGCTACTTATAAAATAATAATTACATTAATTAATTATTTTTTTTACATTTGTCTACATTATTTTCAATAAAAGACTAGAGATTTTTAGTTTATTTTAATTTAATGTTTTTGGAGGCACACGTTTCATTCAATTCATCAGACTTTGATATTTCTTAGAAGACAAGATAATTTTGTTTATTTAGGAACTAATTTTTCCTTTTGAATTAGACAAAATGATACAAAAATATTATATTATACAACAATGTAAAAATTAAACTTAATAGAATAATTATAAATGCCTCCAATCAACTTATTTAAAAATAATTTATATTTTTGAGTAAAGAAATCACAGAACAATTTAGGTAAAACATTAATATCTTTTGTTATATATTTAACAAAAAAGGTGTAGCAAATAAATAGTGTTTATAAAAAACATATTGGGTCTATAAAAGAGCAAACAAACTGATCGGAAAGGAGGAACTTATATAATAATTGATCATTATCAATAATAAAAATTATACAAAAACCATGCAACGCTGAAGACTAGAGAAAAGTAGATTTAAAACCACTTTGAGCTTGTTAATTAGTAAAAATAAAATTATGTTTACACATAAACATATGTATATATTAAAAGTTGTCATAAGTAAAGTTTATGTAAACGGAACAAAAATGACAATTGAATCTTCCAACAAAATGTTTTTAACATTTATTGTGCCATACATTTAGTCATCGTCATTTGCATCTAATAAATCATTTTCTTTGGACTCAAAATCATTATGATCATTGTTTTTTATAGGTCCATCTCCAGAGTTCCTATCTTTTTCTGTGGACATCTCTGCCCTGGCAGCTTCTAAAGCTCTTATGCGATTTTCATGTTTAACAATCATTGCTTTTAATTTACGAATTTCTTCTTTAAACTCTTTAACAATATCATCCTAAAAGAGTATAGAAAAGTTAATCAAGTAGTCGAAAACAAAATATTAGATGCCGTCTTGTCAAATATGTTTAAAAAAATGTTTTTTTTTATATAGATTTGTTTACATATTCCTTGCTTAAGGATCTAAAATGTTTACATATAAATTTTGAAAAATTAAAATATTTTTAAAAACTTACTGGAATTGATTGTTGAGGTTGATTGAACTGTGGTTTAGCTACTCCTGTGGTGGCCCCATGAGAATTATTAGAAATGACCTTTGGAGTAGTTTTATTAGCAGATGGTTTATCCAAAATATTTGGCTTTTTGGCCACTTTCATTTCTGATGCAGTGGGTAATCGAGTAGGCTGATGATAATCTTTAAGTGATATCAATATTGGATCAGCATCTTGACCATTGAACCAATCTTCTGCTTCAACGGCTGGAATATCTCCAATTGTATCTGGATATAAATCCTCTTGAAATAATTCAGACTAAAAGAAAAACAGTTTTTAATTTTATAATAAAACTTTATAACTAAAAAGAAAGTCAAGTTACATTTTTGGAATATCAATAAAGTTGTGAACTTTTAAAAATAAGGTTATAAAATGGAAAATTCCAGATAATATGTTTTATATCAATACTTATTTAGTTATCCATTAATTCAAAATCAAAAAATTAAATCCTATGGGGAATAAACTATTACAGATAAAGTATTGAAAATCTTCACTGCATTCCATTAATCTAATACATTTCTAACAAGGACTAAACAACAAAATTTGTTCTCTAGTTTTGACTGTGGACGAAAAATAAGTTTATGTAAAAAAAATTATTACCGAGATTATTGTTTTCTAAATAACTTTTTGGTGATGAAATATTGTGGATAAATTTTTGAAATTCTTAAGTACACTAAAAAGGTCATAGTGAACCTAGTAATTCTAAAAATCAACTAAATGTATTTTCGGTAACAGAAATATATATAAATGATGAAAATTGAATTTTTTTTTTTTAATTATCTTGAAACATCTAGGTGATTGAACTTTACAGATAGTTTTGAAAATCTTAACTGTACTTCTACTATTTGTAATACTTTTAACAAGGCTATTAACAACATTTTTTCATTAATTACCACTATCTGTGTTTAAAGAAAAAGCTTCTAAATTAAAATAATTATTTAATTAATTCTAAATTATTCTATGAATAATCAATCTTAATAATAATATCAATAATAATGATCTTTCTAGCTATGATACTTAAAGAAAAAAGATTATTTTTTGATTTGCATATCAACATCCTTTCAATGATAGCGTTAAAATTATATTATTGATTTATTAAAATAATTCTTGAATTAAAGCTAACTTAATTACCCATCTTCTGAACTTATAATCAAAGATCTAATTAATTTTTTTTTTAAATCCATTATAAAATTCAAATGTTGATTTTTTTTTAAACCAATTTTTTTGCAAAAATAATTTTTTGGATTTTTCCCAATAATAATATATCATATTAGTTAGTGTGGTATTATCACATTTTTTAGGATATCACAAAGTATAATTAAGTATTATTGCATTTTTCTATGGATATTATAGCACTTTTAAATATAAAAAAAAATGTATTGTAATGCATTTTGAATATGAAAAGGATAATGTAATGGCTTAATAGTTACCTTTCTAGGAACAGTCATGCTGATAACTTGGCACAGTCCAGAATTGTTAAGACGATAGAATTTAGCAATCTCACATATTGATACATCACAACCACGTTTTGGCATCATACCAATACCTCTTTGAGGATCTGGTGTTTGAAAGGTGTTAATATAATGCACAAATGGGTGTTCAGCTGTGATTTCAAAATATCTTATCACACTGTCTCCCTGATAAACATGACCAAATTTTAATATTATAATTGATAGTTTTGTACATAAAAAAAAAAAAATGATTATCCTACCTTTCCACATAAATATATCATATTTGTATCAGAATCATATAATGGAAACATGACACCATTACTAGTGTCAAGTTCAACCATAACAATAGGATCATCTAATTTTTCTGATGATCTTAGAGAATACTGCCTTTCTGATAGCTTACTGAAACCAGTAGTGAATATTAATCCTCCTTTTAAGAAAATACCCCGAGAAGCTTTACTTCCTTCATGACAAATAACTTCCTACAAAAATGATAATATAATAAACAATAAAAACATGTTCTAGCTGAAAATGTTTTACTTGTTCTACTTCTCCACTTCTAGGGTTTATCAGTCTAAGTTTTTTATCTTTACAAGTAGTTAATAGTTGCGAACCATCAAAATTCCATGATGCGCTATATACTATATCAGTATGGCAATCAATATGAATGAGAGGCTCTCCAACTCCAACATTCCAAATGACTACTTGATTATCAGATCCTATATATATATATATATAAAAGTAAATAATTTTTAGAATAAATAATTATAAATTTTAAAATGTTTTACCCGCTGATAATAAAATATTTCGTGCAGTTGGATGCCATAAAACTAAACCAACTCTTCGCTGATGGTATATTAAATCCACAACAGACTCAGTTAGGGTACTAAAAAATTATATTATTAGTAAAATTTATATATTATATTAATAACTTAAGAACAAACCGTGAAATTCCTCCATCTGGAATTTGCCAAACCTTCACAACACAATCTTCAGAACCACTAGCAATTACATTATCATTATGTGGACACCATGCAATATCTAATACTGGTCCTTTATGACCTCCTACTACTGGTTGATCAGCTGCTAGTCTTCCAGTCTAAAAAAAATAGTTCACAAATTTTAATGGAATTTTTCATAAATCCTACTAAAAAAGAATAATTTGATCAGATTTTTTTGAACTATCTGGATCCTAACATTTTTTTTGGATATATGTCCTTTGTAACTGGTTTATTCGAGTAAATAATTTGTTAGGCGTATAAAACCAGTCATTTAAGTATACTAATTATCATTATTTGTATACTAGAGAACGAAATCCGTGTAGATTTCAAATTAATAAAATGTAAAAATAATATTTTTACACCGTATTAATACAAATCGACAATAGAATAACGTGTTTGTTGTCAAATGTCCAACTTCACACGTGTAGGCATGCCTCACGCGATTTGTAAATTACAGGCAATATAAAAATATAACCAATATACACGTCAAACCCCACAATGACATCATCATTTGTTGAGTTTTTAATAGCTATTTCTTGCATTCTAATCATATTACGAAACACTGTTGCTTGTACACTTGTACATGAAACTTTCGTATAGGTCACAATAGGTATTTTATGAATTACAACGATTAACTTTAATACCTTTAAATATTATCTTTTGCTCTGTATTTATAATCCGTTTTAGTGTAATAAAGAAAATAATTTTTATTTTAAAACTATATTTACATAAATATTAAATCTCCTATAATATGGTTTAGTATGTTGTCAGCAAAGGCAGTCAAATAGAAACAGTTAAAAGAGGGGACAGAGTTACTACTCAATGTACTTCACAGATAACTACGTGATGATCGTACAAACTATGAATATTAATGATGACGTCATATTGAAGATTAATCATTAGTGTGGAAAATATACTATAGGAGACAACATAATTTCTAATCGCCCATTTTACACAAATAGCATATTTTGTACATGAAACACATTACTAATAACTAACAAAATAATACGATAAAAATATTAATTTAATACACGTACAATCTTATCTCTCACATAAAAGAGACTAGCTATTAATGTTTATTTCAAGTTTAAAATTTATTTTTATTTTTTCGGAAATAAAATTTATCATAAAAACAAACGTAAATTTTTGGCTATAATGGTTTTTGAAATTAGTACAAAATGTTTTATTTTAAAAATAATTTCTATATGTCAATATTTAATATTTATTACATACACAATTAGTATTAAAAATAAAAATTACAAGTTTACAAATACAAATCGAATGATAAATTATTCCCTACAAGGAGTGGAAAATTTGCGTTCATAATGGCAAAATAAACGTTTTGCGCACGGCACGTAGTTTCAATGTATTTTCGAAGAGCTTATTCTCTTTTTGTGCTAGTAAAGAACTTTAAATATATAAATAGATACGATGAACTACTGAGGTTAACATTTATGTATAAATATAAATATAAAATAATGAGTGTATAAATTATACTTTAGGCGTAAACAACACATCGGCAATCTTAGAAGTAGGGATTGTCCTAAAAAATATCAAAGTTTAAATTAGAATACGACCAAGCAAAGTCATAACACATAATATCATGTATATTATACTATTGATATATCTATAATTGGAGTTTAAAAAATGAATAGTAATTAAATTGATTTTTTTTATTACAAAAAATATACAATAATCAATTTTGGGCAAGACACTCATTTTCTCTGAAACTATTTAAATTTTTTAATTTTTGTAAACAAAAAAATTATTTGATTCAAACAACTACAATATTATGTGGTCAAATTATTATTACATTCCTTCAGCAGACAAAAAAATGACTTATTAATGTATTACATGTATTAATAAACATGAATATTAAAGATAAAATTACTGTAAGTTGGATAATACCTCAGTCAGTAAAAACTAGTTTATATGACAAAATGAAAAACGAAATTTTTTGTTATTTTTAACAATGAAATATCATTGGTAAATCAATCTCAAATTACTAGACTTCACGTATTGTACTAGTAAAACATTTGATCAGACAAAAAAAAATTATAAGGAAACAATTGTTTGTAATTTTTTTATTTATTATATTGTGAAGTTAAATCAGATAGAGATATCCATTTTAATAATTAAATTTCAAGTTTTTTTTATTCCTAAAGGGATAAATAATGTTTTAATTAAAAAATTAATTATTTTCAAGTTTCTGAGAAAAGATGTGTCTTACTTAAAATTGATCACACTATATTTATTACTTAGTTTCAAATTAATGAAGTGTAGTTATTCAAGTCTAAAATTATTATACACAAAAAATTATAAAAACTTCCTCTTGCTTATTAAAAAAAGTACTATTATTTTATTATATATTTCTTGTCAATAGTATACATTACCATATTTATTAACTACAAACAACTCATTATATCATGTTGCCACCATACTTAGAAATAACAATAATAATAATGATAATGTCATCAATAATTCAGCTGACAACTTAAACTTCAGTTCCTGAATTACAAAATCTTAATAAAATATAATCTCAAGATCAATAACAGTTTTTCAAACTTATAAAATATCCATCATTAAATTACAAAATATGAATCATACAAAACAAAAATCTGATCAATGAACGCAAAATTATATATTATAAATATAAATAACTATAATTAAAAAAATTAAATTTAAATGTAGTTATTTCTGTTTTTTTAAATTAAGTATTCCATGTTCTCTTCTTTAATTTCAAATAATAAGTATCTTTAGCTTAAAACCAAAAGCACCTTGTTTATTTTATCTGATATAGATAAAATTATCGATTTCTAAATTATACTACATTATTTACTTCAATACTTTCACTTTCCTATACATTTTCATACCACAAATTTTGATGGTTTATTTTCTTTTTAAAATTTTCCATTTAATTAGAAGTTTTATGTATAGTTTTAACATTATTCTAATATGGAATTATTATTTAATTCTTATGTGTTATTATTTGTTAGATATATTTATCTACTATACAATACTTATTGTTTATTTTTATAAATGGAACAAGCCCAAAAGAGCATAAATACATACATAATAAACAGAAAAACTCATAACTTAATAACTAACAATAAATTAGAAGTAAAATATTAGATGCATTAATTAAAGAAAATAAATAACAGTAAACAAAAAAAAAAAAAAAAATTGAAATTAGCTTAAATAACATTACACAAATTAAATGGATTGTTATTTGTATAAAAATTTATAAAAATAGGGCTGTCTGTAAATATATATAAAATAAATTAAATTTAGTATTCAACATTTTATATAAAAATTGTACGACCAATTACATAAATAATCAAACACTAAAATATGTTATTTTTTCTGATTATCAATCAATGATGTTGATGAGATTTATTTTTTATGCAAATATTCTATGTGTATCGTTTAAGTAAAGTTAAAAATGATGAATTACAATTTTAAGTTTACATATATAATGATAAATATCCCAGCTATACCTAAAATAAATATAACAGTAAGATTGACTAAAAAAATGAGTGATTTATTTCAAATATTCTACTGGCATTCATAGGTGTAAATATTAATGTTTTTATAGAAGTAATTTCAATTTATCCCACCCTGAAAATATTTTATTATATAAAATACATCCAACATTTTATGTTTATATTTTTATTAATATTTTAGTGAGTTTTAAGTCTCTTAGCAAGAGTAATCTTTCTATAAAAACCTAAGCTGACAACATTTGAGACTAGATAATATCTTCAATAGATATATAAATTTAAAATTTAGGAATATTGGAATAACTAGCTTACTGATCTATTTGACTTTGGTTTCATTATTCCATTTAAAACAAATTATATTATTAATAATACTTTTAGTAAAAATAAAATTAACTATGATCAAGTATTTTTTAAGGCAGCAATAACATTTTTATGGTTGAGAATTTTTTTTAATTCTTTAATTAATACATAAATTAAAAAACTTGTATAGGTATTTTCTTGACCCATAATAGGCTTAAGCTATATATAATATATATATATTTAATATTTATACTCTTATTATAATTAACACTTAATACATAAATATACATTTAAATTTATTTTTGTTAATTTATATGAGTATATTTGTTAATAAAAATTAATTTAATTTAATTATCATACCTTATTTAAAGGTAGAACAATAAAAGCTCCACCACCAGCAGATTCCACAATGCAAGCAACAAACTTTGGGTTTACAGCACAAAAAGTTGAGTCCCATGAAGATTTTGATACTCTAATATTGTCATAGCAATATTCACGTTTCAAAGCTGTACCATAAACGTGACGAAATTTGCTACTTCTCACTTTAAACGACATCTAAAATATAATAAAAATTACAATTATTTTGATGTATTTTCAGTTATTAATTTTTTATTTCAATAAAAAACTTAAATACAGAGTATGAAAATTGGTTTAATTTTTATATTAAACTTGGTATGTTATATTTCTAACACAGTTTTTGATTAATTTTGTGTTGAATCTAAACATAGTGATGTGAATCTTTAAAAAGTGTTTCCCAAAGAAATGTCAAATAGCAGTTCTAGGGCAACCCATAAATATTCTGATTGTTTGAAGAAAAAAGAAAAAATTAAATTGTATTAGGTACCAGGCTTTCAATATACCAAAAGATATATTCAACTTTAGAACTTGAGTATCCCTATGGATGAAGCACATTTATCTTAAAGCAAGAAATGTATTTATACATTTAATAACACAAATTAATATATTTGTTTTACCCTTGTCCATCAAGAATGTTATCATTATAAAAAATAATTCTATACATTCTTTTGTTGACATACTATAAAACAAGTATTATTTTGCAGGAATAATTACTTATATACTAAGCATGAACATAATATACTGATATTCTAGGCTCAGCAAATTTATCCTCTGATTTTAGAAAATATCCTATGGTTATATTACTATTTTTTGTGGTAATACTATAAATTTTGAACATTGATCAAAGATTAAACTAGTAAATATATCAAATAAAATTAGAACAATTGGGTGCCACTAAAAAAAATTCAAGTTATTTTTATTATTATTTTTTAACCATGTTTAACATTCTCTTTAAAAACTAATGCTTGTGTCAAATGAAGGGAAAACCCTACATAGTGTAGTGCAAGAGAATTGAATCAAGATACCTAACACATAAAATAAAGAAGCATTACTGATTGAACTAGGTTAGGTAGGCCGCTTATTATGATATCTAATTTAAATATTTAATTAAAATTATAATTAATAGGTCAAAGTAAGTATTTATAATATCATAAATTATAATTATGTCTATGCCTATATAGGTTTTCTAAATAAATACTGTTTATAACTTTTTTAAAGATTTTGGCAATCATGAAAAACCATATAGTTATTTTTTGTATGAACTTAAATTCATTAAAAAACCAATTAGATTAAAATAGAATAAAATAGTTTTAATATTCCAGTTATTTTTTAAATGTTGAAAATGTATTACACAAAACAACAATATTAATAGTAAAAAATAATCATCAAGAAAATATCTTAAAATTACCTCATAAAACTGCAAAGATTATAAGACAATTCAAATAATTTAGTTGAAAATAAGTAAGACTCTTTAGTAATGTTGCTGAGTCAGTTTTAGAAACCAAATATTTAAAAAATACTACATGTTGTTTTGGATTCATAGATTTAGACATTTTAAATACGGTAAACTTTTTTTTTTAATAATATTTATCTATTTTTATATTTAAATAAGTAATCTTAAAGAACAGTTGTAATAACTCTTTAAAACTGCCATTATAATAAAACTTCAAAAGTTTCTTAGATAAAATTGTAGGCATAATTGTAACTCAATTTTAAAATAGTTAAATTGTATAAGATGAATAAGGTATTTTCACATAAAAATTAAATAGGAAATTATTATATTTTCTATCCTATAATTAGTATAACAATATAGTTTATACATTTTCAATATAATCAAATTTAAATCAATTATCTACTGGTTTATTTAAAAAAGTCAATACTTCTGTATTGTATTTAATAACTTTGAGGAACTTATAAAAAAATTAGAATACATAAAATAGTTTGAAGTTATTTAATACTTTATTAACCGAGTTTGTACTAATTTATAAAATCATTTAACTAGTAAATGATTTTATTAATTTTTAAATTAGTTATTGATTATTGTAGATTCTAAATGATAGCAGACCAATCGAATATTAATAATTACAGAATAATATCAATTATTAAATAATTATCACATATTATTAGCAAAATTAAAAACTTCTATGCTCATATTTATACCTAGGTAATACCGAACACTACAGCAGGGTGGTACAGGGGCAAAACCGTTAATTCATTAGAAAAATAGAGACATAATAAATACAAGTTGCAAATAATTATTATTTTGATTTAAAGATCTCTCACCTCAGTTACTCATGCAAATCAAAAATTAATTTTCTTGATATATTTGTAATATGTAGACAATGTTTTCTTCGTTGGGCGTTATCTCAGGGACACTAACACGCACGCAATCACTTAAATACGCGGTACTAAGGAAAAGAGCCGGCTTTTTAGACAGACCGCCAAACGCCAACTAGACTTTGCGACAATTCTAATTTATTAGATCGATAAATATAGTTTTATTATTATTTAGTTTACCATCGGTGGCAAACAGATTGCACTGTTAATATTAACATAGAACACAACGCCGAAAGATTGTGTGGCGCGAGCGGAACAGGAAACCGGAACACATCGGATGTCGTCGTCGTCGTGGACCGTGGTCGTGTATTCCACAATCGTCGGTTGTCGTCGTACACAGTCGTCAGCGTGAGACGATGACGAGGCGGTGTTAGCGGCAGAGTGTGAACAACAAGAAAAAAGAGGGGAAAAGATATTAGTATGGTCAACAGCGACAAAATCGGAGGGAAAAGACTAATGTCCGTCCGATATCACTCGACCTTATTTGGAGTTCGCGAATGGGAACCTAATAGATGACGACGTTGCCAGCAACTGCAGTTTTGCTGATACCCCCTCTAGTGGGAGCACGTTTAAGACGATTTATTCAACAAATGAGTAACTAGAAAGAGTTAAAAAAGAAGAAATTACTAATGTATATACAAAATAGGCAAGTGCCCATTGGAGAGGGAGATGTCCTCCCCTATAGGCAACTCCATATATAAAATTGGTATAATATTAAAAAATTGTGCTCATCAAAATTTTAATATAGTTTTCTTGTTTTATTAAAAAAAAAAATTTAATTTACGTTTTATAATAAGATCATCGCGAATAAAAATTGTTGCATTATTTATGAATTAGTTAACTTTAAAATTGTGAACTGTAAATGATGAACAAAAAAAAAAGGTCGCCAAAAGAACACAAATTATTTGTCCCCCCTGGAATTATTCATTTAGGCGCCTATGTCTAACAGTGTGACCGATTAAGCAGTTCAGCCAACCATTACGAATTCTTACACATTTTCATTTTCAAGTGTTCATTTTACAAATACGTTAAGGTTGTAGTGTAATTAGGAGGCCAAGTCTAAACTATTAATGAATTTGACTATTGTTTGACATTTAGTGTATAGCTTTCCGTGTTATACACAAAAGAAAATTAAATTTACCCTTCAAAAAAAATTAGAAAAAACTCGATGGGGTGGTAAAATGCATTTATGAAAAAATAACATTGATTTTAATATTTGAAAGTTTTTATTATAATTACAACCATAAAATGTTGATTACACTTGAATTTAAACTTCATTTTAACTGGAGGGAAACAACAGATTCAGCCCCCATTTAGTATACTCTCGTATAGAGATTTAAAAAAGATTTTGTTAAATATTTCACAAAATCTTTAAGAAAGTCTTCTAATAATCTGCAGATTAAAATATATTAAACATTAAAATACTGATAATTATTAAAACTCTTCAAGTTTTTTGTTCATAGTTGTGCACTAATTAATTAACAACAAATGTTTTCAGTTGAACGGGTGAGAGGAGCAAGTATTTTGAAGTCATCAATTCTAGAAAAGAACCCAAAATTTCATATTAGCTCTTATTTTTGAAATAATACGTTTTAAAACTGTACATGCTTTTACAGTTCCCTGGCTTTTGTAATAAAATTCCAAAAAACAAATAATATTATGTCATATGAAAGCTAAAATCATGATAAATATAATAATACAGTACAAAAAGTCGAATTTTTGATTCTGAATAAATTTTACATTGACTTAAGTGTAAAAAAACTAAGAACTCATACTCAAAATATCATAAAAACCAAATCTGACAATTTCATTATACAATTACTTGATATAGATTGATTTAAAAATAGATAAATCAGATCAAGATTGTTAAAATTTAAATAATTATATTTATTCACATAAAAAACAATTTTTGGGGTAAATTGGTGATTTTTGAAAATCCTATACATAGATTAATGATAAAATTATTAATGTACTTCTTTAAGATGATTTACAAGTTTTAAATCACTTATAAGAAGATAAAAATACTTTAATACATTTAAATAAATATTTAAATTTATCTTTATTAAGTCAATGTATTATATTTTGAGATTCTGAAAAAGTAATCATCAAAATTTTTACACTAACTTCAAGAAAATTAACACACATATTTACATAACCATTTAGTAATGAAGTATAACATTTTTTACAAAATAAAATGTGTAATATCAATTGATTAATACCTATTTGATAACAAATTTAGTTTAACTCATTCAATTTTTTACTAATTAATGGTAATATATCTCCAAATTTTGCTTCTACTTTTATATCAGCATCATCATCAGCACGAGTTGGTCCTATGTTGATAATAGCAATTGGTTTTTTATATGATTTTATTTCTAGTACTATTCTATATCCAGAATATACAAACAAAGATGATCCTATAACTAATAGGGAATCACAATCTTCTATCAAATCATTCACTTTTAAAATTTGTTTTTTTGGAATATTATCACCAAAAAAAACAATTTGAGGTATTAAAAAATTGTTTTCACACTTTGGACATTTTGGTACCTTAAACTGACTTATTTGTTCCTATAAAAAATATAAGTAAAAATATAATTTGATAAAAAGAGTTTACAACTTCTAAACACTTACTAAAATTAATTCAACATCACCATCTGGTCTAAGATTATATAACTCTTTAATTGGTACCTCTGGATTTAAACTTGACAATACATCTTGAAATTTATGTCTGTTAATAGAATAATCACATTTTAAACAGTGGACCACATAGGAAGTACCATGAAGTTCTAGTACATTTTTACTTCCAGCTTTACTGTGTAAATTATCTACATTTTGGGTAATAATATGAATTATCTTTCCACTTTCTTCCAATTTTTTTAAAAATATATGCCCAAAATTTGGTAAAGTCGATGAAAATCTAGGCCAACCAGCAAAATTACGTGCCCAATATCGTATTCGAACATCTTCATTTTTAACAAACTCTTGAAAAACTATAGGTCTACTTTTACTTGTAGCATAGAGACCAACACCAATTGATCTATAATCAGGTATACCACTTTCAGTAGAAATACCAGCTCCTATTTGTAATAAAATTGTTATGTTATAAATTATATTCTAGGATAATTATAAATTAACAGGAAAATTTATTTCAAATAATTAGTATAACATTAATACCTGTTAGTACAAGAATTTTGTTATGATGTTTTATAAAATTTGATAATTTATCAACATCTATTAGCTTAACAAGATTATGTTCAGGAACGAAGTTTGACTTATATCGAATAATTTTTTTTGTACCATTTTTAGTTATTATATTTTTAATAAAAACATAACACGAAAATATATTAAGCAAGGATATGTAGACCATTACGTTTTTTTTTAACTATACCATTTAGATCATATAGATATGATCGTGATATTGAGAATGATAACACAGAATATACAGAACGTACACTTATACAATTTTACATGGCTAATATAACTCCAGATAAGGTATCTTATCTGGAATTATCTTATCTGTGATATAACTGTATTCTAACATTTTTGATAACTTATCAATATAAAAATAAATAGATTTTACTATAATGAAATAGTTTATGATAAATAATTTTTCGTTCTTAATTGTATTACCAATGCAATACTATTATTCTTGTTCAAAAAACGTAATATGAGTTTGGTTGTGTATTAATTAAGTATTACAAATAAAAATGTCCAGTAGTAATACTGCAGTAAACTCTGTTATGGGGTTAATGTCTCATTTAACACCCTCTGAATTAAGGGAAATTCTGAATGATGAAGAAAAATTTGAACAATATGCTAAAGAAATAAAAACAGTAAATAATTGTAGTATTGTATAGATTATTTTAATGATTATTTTATTTCAATATCTAGAGTAAAGATGGGGATACTGAAAAAGAAATGTTGATAGCGAGTAATCGATCGCTAGCAGAATTCAATCTAACTAAAGAGCCAGAACTTAGTGATGGTAAAGTAAAACTGCGTGAACTTTACGAGGAAGGTGAAAAACTATATAATAGTGTTTTAGAGAAAGTTAATATACTCAGTAAGTTTTTCTCTCAATATTTACTTTTACACAAATTTGTTTAATACTACTCAAGTAATAATACTAATAAAACCAAAAAAATTTGATTTTTTTGTTCTTTTCATAGAAAATAGTAAAATTATGTACTAAATATCTAATAACCAAAATTTAATCAACTTTCTATAAAGAATAAAATATTATTTTAATAAAAAAAGATATCCTTCTTTAGTAAAATTTAATTTTTGATACTTTGTACCTTTTTCATGTCATAACCTCAGTTATATTTGACCAATAGTTAAATTTTGTCAGATCACGAGGCTTAATTAATTTTATTAATTATTAAAAATAATTGAATTTGAATAAAATAATACATACGTATATATACAATGTAAATAATAATTTATTACTTTCTTAAATGTTTATTGTTAATATTATATTTTGTACATATTTGGTATTTATAATATATTTTAAAATTTAGAAAATAAATTTAAGAGGGTGATTACAATTCTGAGCCTCCCTGAATATGCCACTGACTCAACATATTGTTGAGTAAGGTAAATAAAAAAACTAATAATAAACATTAAAAAAACAATAAAATTACCCACTCAATATCTTTGACAATAATAAAAAAAAAATTATAACATTGTGCCTATAGAATAGATTGAATTTAATATATGTTTGAAATGTTTAAGTTATTTGTGTTGTTTAACTTTTAGAAGGACATAAAAGTAGTACAAACCCAGAAACTATTTTGGCATTGCTACAAACTGCAGCTTGTGAAACTGAAGAAGAGTCTGATGTAAGTTGAATAATGTTATAAAACGGAGATTATAATATTATAAAATATACATGTAGTCAATATTATAGTAAATATAATAATCCTTAACTTAAGCAAGATGATAAATCTAAAATTAGAAGTTATTATCATATATTGGAGTTTTACAACTATGTAAGATAATAGAAAAAATAATGTTATATCACATAATTGAGTCAACCATAAATACTTTAGATGACAGTCAACATGGCTATAGACTACTTTTATTACATGTAGTTTATTATTTTATCAATTTATATTTGAATTAACAAATTTTTAATTTTCAACACAGATTCTTATGTCCAATATTGCTTTGTAAAAATTTTTGTTATCTAGAACTATGTTAATATTCCCTAGAATTTGTGTATTACACATTATTATAATTAAATAATACTCAATATCTTGAATTTTTTTTGTTCCCTAGAGTTTTTATATAATGAGAGTCTATTGTATTAATTATCATTTTTTTTAATTTAAGAGCTAAATATAAAATTATGACTAATATGTGATACTGTAAGTACATTAAATTTTCACAAAATTAATTAAAAATGAATCTATAAAGTTTTTGGGTGTTTATCAAAGATTGAATTATAACAATTAATTATCTATACTTAAGCATCACTAGGACCAAAAATCTGATAACAATTTATCCAAAGGTATATTCAGTGAAAATTTTTCTTCTGTATATGTTTATGATATTGTTCAAAGTCCAATTAAAAGTATGAATATAGTAACTAATGACAATATTTTTAATTGTTCATTTACTAAAGTTATTATTTTAGAAAGTGTTTGAAAAGTTAATTAATGATCTTGTATTGAATCTAGATTATGTACTTGCCATATTTCTTGAAAATTGTCAATTTATTGTTTATAAATTATTTAATTGGTCATTGGAGTCCGTTGTTTTTCCGAAAATTTGGAAAGTGGGATTTGTTCCCAATTAGGAAACCAAGATATCATTCCTCAATTTTAATTTATAGACCTATTTATAAACCAAGTTCACTTCTTGAGTTATTTGAAAAAAAAGTTTAGCCAATATTTACTGTTGCAATAAAAAATAATTTAGCAGAAAAACAATATGATTTTTGACAAAAAAAACTCGATAGAAATAATTTAGTTAATTTAGTTTATATCGGCATTTATTTGATAATGTATACAAAGGTTTAAAGTTGATTGAATTTATATTGATACTCTAAAAAAGCGTTCAATATAAAAAATTATAAGTTAAGTAAAACAACAGTAAATAGTACAATGGATATACTTGTATTTATCAAATAAAATACAATTGGTGACGGTGTATAATGAAATATCAAATCCTATTACCGACAACTCCGATTCACCTTTTGGTGGTCATTTGTTCCCTATTTTATTTTTAATATTTGTGAATAATTTTGGGTCTGTATTTAAACATAGTAAATATTTAATGTTTACTAATAGTTTAAAGTTGTATAATTAAATCTCAATATAATTGTTATAAGTTACAATTCGATTTAAATAGCTTTTTTGATTAAGTATTTAACATTATTATATAGTAATTGCTAATACAGTACAACCCAAAAATGAAAAATTTTCTATGCCAAACAATATGACAGTAGATTTAGAATTCAATTTCGTTAGCGATTCGGATACTGATCTTGGAACTATCATTGATTATAGTTTTTGAAATAAACGTTAATTAGTGAAAATCGGATAATTACGTAATTAATTGCTCATTAAAACCCCTTGTATAACTTAAATGCGTTATATTTAAAAGGTATTTGTAAAATTTGCAATCCATATCTCAAGTTTAATGCACTTTACATGGACTTCATAGTTGATTTCGACGTTCATTTTACAAAAATGAACACTGAAATTTTCCTTATAACTCTTTTATGCTTAAACATACATAATTATACATTTTTTATGGCTGAAAAAATTTATATGATTTTATTAATGTAATTTTTATTTAACATGAAAATATGTTTTGAGTGCTACAACACATTAATACCTGGGTGACAAATTTCTGAATACATTTCTGCTATAATTTTGTCGTAAATACATTGATGTTGTATATATTTTTAAAATATTATTAAGCTGATTAATTGTCTAGGAAATTTAATTACCAAATGTTAATACACGAAACCTTGTTTTTTATGATAAAAATCTATCATTAATATTGCAGTTATCACCAAAATTCAAACTTTGTTCTTAATAAAAAACTTTATTGAAGGTCGAATACCTGTAATAATTTGTACAATTTTGATATCATTAATAATCAGAAATTTGTGTTGTGAATTTATTATGTAGGCTATTGTATACACAGATATTTTATTTTATCGTAGAAAAATAATCTTTATAAAATATACAATAAGTACTTTTGATAAATTTTTATACAATTAAACAGTTAATTATATTATAATTTTACAAATATTTAATTTGTGGCTAAAATACTGATGATAAAAAAAATCTAAGGTCATAATCAAAAACTTTTATTTTCGTAATTTTTTATTAATATTGAATGACCCAAATTTTGTCAAGTTGCTTAGTAAGTAAATAATAGTATGAAACTATGTTTCAACTAAATTGTCCCTCAAAAACTAATATACAATACTCAAAATATTTAAACACGTTAATACATTAATTAATGTACACAGTTACATAACATTAACCATTTAAGATTAAAATTTTAAATAAATCTTATCTTATTTAGATTCTTTGATATTGTTATTTTACAAACTAAATTACAATAAAAAAAATAACTTACAATTTTTTATTATTATTATTATTATTTTTTTTTTGAAGCCAATCTCGTACAATTACTTTATCAATAAATGGTACAATTGCCAACCAAATATATACCAAACGTTCACTAATATTTATTTATTAATAAATAAATAATTTTTCGAAAAGTTTTTTTCGAAAAGGCCATATCTCCATAAAATTTTATTTTTCAGGAAACGTAAAAAACTGTTTTTAAAGATCAAAATAAATTTAGATGAAAATTGAATAAGGGTTGAATTATTGAATTCCCTTATAAAAAACCAACTATGATGTAATATTGACTATTTATACCTATTGGATTATTTTATGAGGGAATGAATATGTTTGAGATATCACCTTTTCCAATGGATTGTAAATTTTCATTGATTATGACTTCGCGACTCTGATCAATTGTTTATTATATATCATATAAAATTAAATAATTAGTCTTACAAAATATATTGCGCATTCTTTTTAATAATTTTATTTATGAACTTCAACATCATTTCTTTTTAGTTAACTTTTTATTTTAATACCAATCGTAGACTCAGTTTCGTCTTCGAATTTACTCATATTGACTTATTATTATTTTATATTCTTGATAATAACAATAATTATTATTGTTATTATTAACTATTATCGACAACAGATAGACAATAAACCAGATGAAAATAGAATTTTAACAAATAAAATTGCTGATCAAGTTATTTTTGGAGAAATGGCCTTTTCGAACTCATTCGTAATTTTTAGACTATAACGAGTTGTTTGAGATATGATGGTCTCGCAGGAAATATGTATTATTATTATTATTAGATAAACATATCTATCACATAAAAGTAGTTTTGAAAAAATGTGGAGAAATGGTCTTTTCGAAATGACCGATTCAATTACTACTAAAATTTTAGAAATAATGGAAGAAACAATGATGGAATACTTACAGGAAAATATTCGAATTTTGTTATGTTACTTAGACAGTAATGGATGCCAACATTTAAAATATTTGAAAATAATAGTCTGCATTAATCGATTATTTGTAATATTGGGTATAATTTTGAGTTTTATTAGAATTAGTTTTTGATAAATTTTCTCCAACGGATTACAAATATTAAAAAGAACAAAAAGCCTATATGAAATGCTCTACATTTATATCAAAAGTATAATTCGATGACCCAATTCAAAACTGCAATAACTTAAAATTCTTTTTGAAATCGTTACCATTGGAAAATTTGATTTTTTTATTGTTTATAGCTTTTAAGAATTCATAAATTAATTATAGATAATCATTTTTTAAATTTAGAATTCAAGTTAAGGCAAACCTTTGACAGACCTATCAGAAAAATATTTTTAGCATCGCTAAAAATTAGTTAACGAAGAAACTTCAAATATCTAAAATAATAAATTATTTTGGAGTTTTTGAAGTTATAATCTTTTAATTATGACAGTAATAAATGAATAAAATTATTTAAATATTGTAGTAAAGAGCTGAGGAAGTATTAAATAACGTCGATACTAGTATAATATAAGTTTTTAAACAGTAGTAAGCAATTTCTATATTCTTAAACAATATAATAATGTCATTTAAAGGGAAATCGCAGGATAAGCAAATTAATAATGGTGGGAAAAAGAATATTAAAAGGAAACATGAAAAATATAGGGGCGGGACATTTTGACGAAGAAACGTCGAGTTACAGGTTAGGACGTTTGATGCGAGTAACTTTGTAATTTATATGATTCAATTTATTTTGTGTTACATTTTTATAATACATTTTGACTTTGTGTTTATTTCGTTTCTTAAATAAAATAACTATTCAAAAACCTGAATTGTATTAACTTTTATTTTTTTAATGGAAACATGTATATTTAACCTACTTAAAAATTAAAAAATGATATAACTAAGAAAATGACTATAATAAAAACTTTTGAACTAGTATATCAGAAGTTATTATCACTTTACTATAATGACTAGAGGCTAACTAGCGGATTGTTTATTTTTATCTCTAAACATTTATGAAGCACATTACTTTTTGAGTCTTGTTATATAAATGCTAATATCTTTTAAAATACTGATTCAAAAGTTGTTAATGACCAGACTTTTCTTGTTTTTAAGATCGTACGGGGTCTTAATCCCTTAGAATCGATTTTATTTTTAATTATATAACGTAGGATATTACTAACTTTTAAAAAGAAAAGATTACATAATTTTCAATTTTTTTAAAGTTAAATTAAGTAATAGGTAACCTGTATATAAATATAAATTCTGTTACGTTAAGTTAATAGAATTAAATTAGATATTTAATTCTATATTTTGTTTTCAGAAAATGGCTGAAAAATTTCTCAGTGGTGACATTGAATTGGATGGATTTTTGGAAGATTTTGTTAATCAACGTAAAAATATGCATCTTAGAAAAGCTAAATCTGATAAAATGGCCGAGTTGTTACGTAGACGTAACAGTTCCTATCGATCATCTATTGAAAATGTTACTAATAAAATAATAGGATATCCTCAACCAGGGTACTCTCAGCAACCCTACTTTCAACCTAATAATTCTGTGCCTTATCCAAGTATGCCTGTTAATATGCCTATGCCAATGCCTGGAAATCCATTTATCAACAAACATTTTTAAAATTATTTTATTAATTTTATAATATTATTCTTAAAAAAATATTATTGAAACTATTTTTAATATATTACACTTGTAAACTTAAATTATGTATATAAAATAAAATATATAAACATTAGTATGTTAATAATGCGTCTTTATTTTATTATCACCATTTAAGAACTCCAGGTATGTATTTATCAATAAGTGACTGATAATAAGGCTTCAATTTTTCAATATCTGGCATTTCTCCTCCTTTTGTATATAAATCATATTTACTAAAACAAATACAAATTAAACATTTTATTAATGTTATGAATACTTAACTTAGTTTTAATATTGTCCCACAATTGTAATAACAGATAATCATAAATTGAATTGTAATTGAGGTCGGCCTAAAAGAATGTGTCTATAAAGTATTTTTCGGTGTTGCAAAACCGGGAAGTGGGCCGACTGCGACGATTGTAATGCAGAGCATCGTCAGTCATTTGACAATTATTGTATGAATACTATCACTTTTATTTTTAATAAACTAATTAATTATTCGGCAATACTATTTTATTTTATTCTATTTGTTACTCTCGTAACATTAATTTTGGTGGCAGCGGTGCGATCCGAAGAGACTAGTGCCGAAAAAGAATAATTAAAATTTTTATCATAAAAGTTACTAAGTACGCAAACAATAGTCAAATAACTCATCAGAACCTCCAGAAAATCAAGAAAAGCATTGAACTCAACATACAGAAAATCTTCAAAAATCAAACAACTTCAAGAAAATCAATCAAAAATAAGATAATAATAAACAACAAATAAAACTTGTTTGTTGTATTTAATACAATAAACGGTTAGTAATTTCTACTGTTATTTCGTTCACTATCAACGTATATACTTTCGCCGCCGCCCGAACTCATATATATATATATATATATTTTACAAAAATATAAAAAAAAAAATTCACTAAAAACCCACAAGTCAAGTTTCTCCGCGTGACCAGTTTCAGAGTGTAGAACATCAATAAAGAAACATCAATCCAGCCCAACCAAACTATCAATACATCATGTTTATGGCGGTGAATGTCTTATTACTGTAAGTTTTATTTTGTAGTTTAATTTATTTTTTTAAAAAAAAAAAAGAAAAGAAAAGGAAAAAAAAATAATAATAATACATTTATGTATATAGATAATATTTTTCGTTTTTAAGTGTATTCATTTATACGTACATACATATATATATTTTTTTTTTAATAAATAAGTATCAGAAAATCTTGGGGGTAAATTAGTTAGTTATTTATATATTTATATAATTTACATTTATCTATTTTTTATTCATGTTTATTATTTAATTATCTTTTGTGGAATCAGCTCAGCTTTGGAATTTAAGATAGTATTATAAGTATTGTTTATGAGTAATTCTAGTAGTAGAAGTAGTAGTCCTATCGACGACAAATCAGTTGATCCTGATTTCAAACCAACCTGTAGTACTAAAGTATCTGTTTCAAAACATCCTTCTCGTAATTTACGTTCAACTTCGTCGTCTAATCCTCCTATAGAAAATTTATTAACTAAAGGTGATGCTCTTCTTGAATCTTCTTCTGAACTTTTAAATACAACTTTTGGTAAACTAGGTGACACCGACAGTTTTTTAGGTCAGTGTAGTCAAACCTTGTTAAAATTAGAGCAAGTCCAAAATCCAATTTCTGATTTTAATCCAATTATTCCTATCAAACAGAAATCTATCGTACAGTCTCCAGAATTTCAGTCTTTATTTATCGAACCGAACCTCAATCAACCTCTTCCCCTACCTCGTGAAATGGCCAACAATCAGATAAGTCTAGAGGCTGCCCTACGTCTATTACCACAGTCGTTTGATGGTACCAGTTCAGAGGATCTTGAAATATTTTTAGAAAAATGTGAGTTTGCCATAGAGTGCGCAGACTCAACAGCACAGGAAAAGCTTCTTAAAGGTATTCAAGTACGTCTATCCGGCAAAGCTAGACAAGCAATCAAATTCAAAGAAATCCAATCGTGGACTGACTTAAAAAATACTCTAAAATCCACTTTAGAACCACAGAGGACAACTACTCATCTCTATCTAGAGCTATATTGTACCAAACAGGCTCCTAATGAAGATGTTATTTCTTATGCCAATCGTGTAGAATGTCTACAATCACAAATTTTAGAACAAGAAACAAATGGAAAAAGCACTGAAGCAGCTACCGCCCTTGAGCAAAGCCTTAAAGCTCAAACAGTCCAAGTGTTCACCGAAGGTTTAAATAATCTTAAAGACTTTATAAAAGCTCGTAATCCACCAACATTAGAGAAGGCTATTCAAGCCGCCCGTGAAGAAGAGCGTGTCCGAAAATCATGGCACGAATCTAGGAAGTTGACCCCTACAACAGGAGGAAAGTCAAAAGTTATGTGTTTTAATTGTACAAAAATTGGTCATTTAGCAAAAGACTGCAGGTCTACTTCAAATCACACGCATAAATCATCAAATTTTATTAAGCCTAAATCTAATTTGCAAAGCTATCGTCCTAACTTGGCTCACGTTCAAATGGTTGTGTGTCGTTATTGTAAAAAATCAGGACACACTTTAGAAGTATGCAGAAAACGCCAATGGGTTAACAACAAGAAACAATCACAATCAACACCAGAACCACAGACATCTAATGCGGGAAACGAGACACGACAGGCAACTTTCGGCGGAAAACCTGTCAGCAGCATCAAATTAGCCGATCTCTCCATTTTACCGCAAAATTAGATAACCACCATGTTGTCTACCCAATTCATCAGACAAACTCGGGCACTGCCAGACTTCTACTTGATTCCGGTAGTGACCTAAACCTTATTAAAGTATCATCTCTTAAAAGTAATGTGATTTTTTATGATCACATAATATATCATTTGAAGGGCATAACTGACCAACTAGTTATGACATTAGGAATGACTACCTTAACTATACAACTAAATAACCAATTCCTTCAAGCAGAGTTCCATTTAATTCATCCTGACTTTCCCATACCTCATGACGGAATCCTAGGAAAACCTTTCATAGTAGGACATCAGACTCTCATAAATTATGGAACCAATGAATTAATCATTCCGAATTCAGCCGGTATTGTTATCTCTCCTCGATCAGAAACTCTTATTACCATACCAGCTTCGACTATTAAAGAAGGCACCATGCTCTTAATTCCTTCTCAGTCAATTAACGAAAACCTCGTAAGTGGAAATGTCGTAACTCAGGTCCAAGGCAATCGCGTATTACTTTCTATTTTAAATCCGTCAGAACAACCCGAACATCTTCAGATACCAAATCTCGAAAGTCTTAATTACGAAGAATATCTAGAAGTATCTATAAATATTACGCAGTCACAATCCCAAAGTAACTTCGATGGAAGCAGAATTAGTCGACTTAAGCAAGCTCTTCGTACTGATCATCTGAACAATGAAGAACGAAATTCATTGGAAAGCATTTGCAGTCAGTTCTCCGACGTATTCCATTTAGAAGGGGATCCAATTACGCATACTACAGCGGTATATCACGAAATTAAAACACCTGATAATGTCCAGCCGATAATGGACAAGCCCTATCGACTCCCTTACAAACACAAGAATGAGATTAATGAACAAATAGCACAACTCGAGAAAGAGGGAGTTATAGCTGCTAGTGAATCTCCATGGAATGCGCCATTATTAGTAGTACCAAAAAAACCAGACATATATGGAAATATCAAATATCGCGTCTGCGTTGATTTTCGAAAAATCAATCAGGTCTCTCAAGGAGATGCCTATCCTCTTCCTAACATCACTGATATCCTTGACCAGCTTGGTAAATCTCGCTATTACAGTACTCTTGATCTAGCAAATGGTTATTATCAAGTCCCTATGTTACCCGAACACCGTGAAAAAACCGCTTTTTCGACTGACAAAGGTCATTTTGAATTTATTCGTATGCCTTTTGGTTTGAAAGGTGCACCAAGCACATTCCAACGCCTGATGAACAAAGTTTTAATTGGCATAAATGGAGTAAAAGCTTTCGTTTACTTAGATGATATAATCATATATGCTAAAAATTTAGACGATCATTCTCAAAAGCTCACAGAAATCTTTGATAGACTTAGACAATATAATCTAAAATTACAACCTATTAAATGTGAATTTCTCCGCAAGGAAACTCAATACCTAGGTCATGTTATTACAGACCAAGGTGTTAAACCTGATCCAAGAAAAATAGAATGCGTTCAAAATTTTCCCGTACCTAAAAATGTTAAGGAAGTTAAGTCATTTCTTGGATTATCCGGTTATTATCGACGATTTATTAAAAATTATGGGGAAATTGCGAAACCTTTGACAGCTCTCTTAAAAAAGGATGTCCCATTTACTTGGAGTGACCTTTGCCAAGAATCTTTTCAGACGTTAAAATGCGTATTAACACAAGCTCCAATTCTTCAATATCCTGACTTTGAGAAACCCTTTGTCCTCACTTGTGATGCTAGCAACTATGCCGTAGGTTGTATCTTGTCTCAAGGTCCTATAGGAAAGGATTTACCTATAGCATTCGCATCCAGAACATTAAATAAGGCAGAACAAAACTACAACACCACCGAAAAGGAACTAACAAGTATTGTATGGGGTGTAAAACAGTTTCGCCCTTATCTTTTTGGTCAGAAATTCACAATTGTCACAGATCATCGTGCTCTCACGTGGTTATTTAACCTCAAAGATCCTGGGTCCCGGTTAACCAGATGGAGATTAAAACTAGAAGAGTATCAATACACAGTGCACTATAAAAAAGGATCACAAAATACCAACGCTGATGCTTTGAGTAGAATCCATCAGGTAACTACTCGTTCAACAAGTAAATCAGTAACCGAATCGATGAATTCAGAAAATCCAGAACATTTACGAAATCCAGAATATTCCGAACACTCATTAACTCCAGAAAATTCAGAACATTCACTAACTCCAGAATATCCAAAATCATCTTCATTTTCCAATATTAATGAAACCATCACAGAATCTCCGTGTCAATACGTATTGAACAATATCAGCCATTATTCTAATCTTCCTAAAAATATAGTAGAAACCCATGGGAAGGTGTTGAATGCACCCTCAGACTATCATCTGGCAAATTTTGTATCCAAAGATCTCAAGTTATCAAAAGGAATTGCTTTAGATTTTCGTCGACAATTTGGGCAATTATCTAGTCTGCGGAAACAAAACAAGAATGTTACTGAAATCGCTTTTCTCAAACAATCCAATAGATTTATCCTCTACATAATAATAAAAGAGAAGATTTGGCAGAAACCAAAATACGAAATTATTTTCACTGCCCTACAAAATCTCCGAGAATTTTGTCATGTAAATCATTTAGATAAAATAGCTTTACCTAAAATAGATACTGGTCTAGATTGGTTAAATGTTCGATCTATCATAAACTATATCTTCAGAGACTCTAACATTCACATTCTTCTCTATTCTCTAGTTGAATACTCATCAGAACAAAAATCTCATATCATTCAAGAATTTCACCTAAATCCCTTAGGTGGTCATCAGGGTATATCACGAACTATCAATAGATTAAAGAAACAACACTCATGGATCGGTATGAATCATGACGTGGCTGAGTTTATAAAAAAATGTACATCATGTCAGAAAAACAAGACTACAAATCGTCATGTAAAAGCACCGATGGTAATTACTACTACCTCTTCAAAGCCCTTTGAGAAAGTTTTTATGGATGTAGTCGGTCCTCTTCCACGTACACCTCATAACAATGCCTACATCCTAACTCTTCAAGATGATCTTACAAAATTTTCATGGGCTGTCCCTATGGAAAATCATGAAGCAAACACTGTTGCTTATCATTTTGTAACCAAATTCATATGCTTACATGGTATCCCTCAGAATCTCGTTACTGATTGTGGCACCGAATTTCTTAGTGATGTGTTTAAAGAAACATGTCGTCTACTGAAAATAAAAAAAACATCTACAACTCCCTATAGGCCGCAGAGCAATGGAAGTCTCGAGAGAAGTCACCGGACTTTAGGTGAGTATCTTCGACACTTCGTAGATAAAGATCAGCGAAACTGGGACACTTATGTTCCATTTGCTATGTTCACTTACAACTCAACAACTCATTCTGCCACGGGATACCAGCCCTACGAACTTTTATACGGTTATGAAGCCCAAGTCCCAACATCATTTACCCGAGAACCGGAACCACAGTATAATTATACAGACTATCAATTCGAATTAAAAAGAAACATGCAAGAAACTCATAATATTGCCAGAAAAAGATTATTAGAAAAGAAGCAGAAATCTAAAACCTCCTATGACCAAACTCAATTCCTTCCCACACTTCATATTGGTGATAAAGTTTTAATTCAGGAAAAGGCTAACAAAGGAAAACTGGCTCCTAAATGGTTAGGTCCTTTTGAAATATTAGACACAAACGCTGATTCAGTAAATATAGTTATTAACAAAAATGACAAACGTCAAACACTCCACAAGAACATGGCTAAACTCTTTCATGAATAATAATTAACAAATAATCATTATTGTTTGTTACAGAATGGTTACTCACTTCTCTCAATATTATGCAGAAAACCTAAAAGCGTTCATAAATATCACTGAGTTCAATCAAACGTCCGGTCTGTATTACGAATCCTATGGTCCCCTCAGAATCTCCCAGAGTACCTGGCAACTTATTTCCTACCTGGATTTAAAGAACTACCAGCAACGTCATTCTTTAATCTTAGGTTATTACAATCAAACGGTGCGTCACTGTCGGGACGCATCAGAAAATTCAAAAGATATAAAAATAGCTACAGTCTGTACCCAATTTGTTCAAATTACATTACCTTATTTAAATGAAATAGAATTCAATCATATTACTCTTTCATCTATGTTAAATCTGAAGGGGAATAGCAGTTCTCTTTACTCCCGACAAAAGAGAGGTCTAGCAAATTTCGTTGGTAGAATAGCAAATGTTTTATTCGGTGTATGTTCCGATCAAGATGCTGAATATTTTTATAATAAAATCAGCGAACTTCAGGAAAATAAAGAAAAAATTCTACGACTATCCAAAGAACAAATACACATTATGAAATCCGTAGTTCATCACACATACAATTCCTCACTACATCTAGATCAAACACAACAAAATATGTCCCGAAATATACAGAAACTACTATCGCAAAGTCAAATGAATGCTGATAAAATCAATTTAGTAGAATTCATTTCTACTCTAGCTGAACATACAGCCACCATAACTCTACTACTTAGCCAATACAGTTGGGAAACTCAGAACCTCCTTGCTATAGTTAACTCAGCTCTAAGTGGTCGATTACATTCTAGTATCCTACCTCCTAATATCCTACTTAATGAATTGAAAGAAATCCGTCTTAGTTTACCATCAACCCTTGAACTCCCAGTTTCTATCTATTCTACAAGTCTAACTGATTTGTTCAAGATAACTACTATTGATGCATTATATATTAATTATACTTTGATTTTTAATTTAAAAATCCCTTTATTGTCTAATTTAGATTTTAATTTATTTCACCCCATATCCTTGCCTATACCACAAGGAAATCAAAATTTTATTTTTATTGTAACCGAATCTAAGTATTTAGCTTTAAGTAGAAATAATGATTATTATTTTTCTTTATCAGACCTTCAACTTTCAAATTGTTTTGATTTAAGTAATTTTAAATTGTGTAAGTACTCTAAAGCACTATATCGTCATTCCAAAACAAAAAATTGTGACGTAAATCTATATTTTAAACCTAATTATCCAATTGTCAATTGTAATCTTAAGTATCGTAAATTGTTCATTCCCATATATCATAAATTAGAAACTCAAAACTCTTGGTTATATGTGACTCCTACAGAAACTCATATGACACTCAAATGTAATAATGTACAGAACCTCTTTTCTATTAATACCATTGGTAAAATAACAGTGGATAAGTCTTGTACTGTGAGTACCGAAACTTCAGTATTATTACCATCTCAAAACATTATTTCTGTTTTCTCCCAAGACTTTGTTCCCGAGAATCCTTTAGTTTACATGAATTCTAATATAACTAATAAAATTTCTAAATATCAGCCTGAACCGTTAACAGAAAATAATTTCATTCAAGATTTGAATCAATTAGCAGATGACTCAATAGATCTCAATAATCTTGAATCCACAATAGCAGAGTCTTCCGATCATTTCATCTTAAATACTCATATCCCATTTCTTTACTGTCTCTTTCTAATAATAGTAATTCTAACTTCATATGCATTGTGTAAATATAAAAATACCACCCGACAATATAAACCAGATATCGCACAATGTACAAATTGCAATGAAAGTATGGTCTGAAGTCTTGTTAATTTAATTATTTTATTGTAATTTAAGAGTATTATATGTAAGTAGTATTTCAAACACTACTTCCATTTAAGGGAGGGAGTGTTATGAATACTTAACTTAGTTTTAATATTGTCCCACAATTGTAATAACAGATAATCATAAATTGAATTGTAATTGAGGTCGGCCTAAAAGAATGTGTCTATAAAGTATTTTTCGGTGTTGCAAAACCGGGAAGTGGGCCGACTGCGACGATTGTAATGCAGAGCATCGTCAGTCATTTGACAATTATTGTATGAATACTATCACTTTTATTTTTAATAAACTAATTAATTATTCGGCAATACTATTTTATTTTATTCTATTTGTTACTCTCGTAACATTAACTAAATTTTTAGCTACAGTAAATTACTTGAATTCTAAAATCCATTTTTTCATTTTTTTGTCTTCTTCAGTACATAAATGTTGATAATCACCACCAGAATGCCATGGATAAAATGAATGGTACCTTAAAAGTTTAAAATTTTTTTATAAAATATTAAGACAATTTAATTTATAGTATTTTATAAAAAAAATTACTTGATCATGTAATGGCCTTCTTTAGGTATTTTCGAATTATTGTGTTCTAACACTCTGTAAAGGTATTCATCGTGTCCCCAGGACATCAAAATTTTATCTAAACCACAATTTTCTGAGTAAATTCCCAGCTTGGTACTAGAAATAATTTCATTGTTATTTTACTAAAATCTTTCAAGACATCTATAAAAGAAATTAAATACTCACTTGTACTTTTTGTTCCGAGTGTCTGGATTATTATCGAAAGTAGTATCTCGGTAAACAATTGATTTACCCCATGCACACCCCACCGGAAATGTATCACCTACTACACACCATTGAGGTTCTCCTTTTAAGGCCATTACCTATAAGGAATAAATGTGATTTAAATTTAAATAAACTAATCTAATACTAAAAGAGTAAATAAAGCTTCAGAAATTTATCTGTATTCAGACTTCAAGTCCAGTAAATTGCGACAAGACTAACTTGTATAATTGATTAGTACTATTACGTAGGTAAATAATTTATGCTCCATTGAAATCAAACATAAAACACATATCTACATTTTTTAAAATTATTTCTCTATAATAGTGATATGGTAAATTTATTTNAAAATTATTTCTCTATAATAGTGATATGGTAAATTTATTTTAAGATTCAAAATTCAAATTAAAAAAGATAATTTATTAGTATTATATTCATTGAAATAAAAACTATCTAAGAAAACAATATTGATTAAATTTGATTTAAACATTTATTTTTTTCAATATTATGATAACTATTTTATCTATTTCTGCCTGGCAAGAAATTTTTTAAAAATAATATAGGCTATAACGTAACTGTACACATTGAGTAAAAAAAAAACAAAAAAAAATCGATACTATTTCATGTCTATTCATTGTCTCTTATAAGGGTTATCACTTAATTTTTTTTAACAAAATCAAGACTATGATTATGTAAAAAATTTCATAAATTATTTTTAATTTCATAGAAAACTTAAATGAAAAGGACCACTCCGTTTTTACACTATCACTGTCAGTTGTAGTCGAGAAGATACCTTTAATATGAAAAAATTTCATCAGGGGCGGCCATAGAGAAAGAAAGCAACTGTCCCTAAGTTGTTGTCTATAGAATGATAAAGATCCCTTTAAATTTTTATATAAACCGGTTTATAGTTTAATTTTTGACCTTTTTTTTAGGAATAATTTTTTTTCACCCTGGGCCGTTGACCACCCAGTACGTTTCTAGTTTTCATTAATACTTACTTTGCCTAAATCATGTATGAGGCCGACCAAGTGAAACCAATCAAGATCAGGATGATCTTTTCGGATGCGTTCAGCGGTTTGATATGCATGAACAATATTTGGAATGTCGACGTCAGGATCACTCTCATCTACAAGATTATCTAGGTAGTCTAAGGCTTCCATAACAGTTGCTTCAAATTTGTTAAATTTACACCAATCATCCATTTTTCCTAAAGTTAAAAAAATATGATAATATTACATTGAAAAGTTATATTGGAAATGAAAAAAGGAGATTATTTTTTTTTTTGAGAGGCTCAACTTATAATGACGCAATGATACTTTTTAAGCTGTAGTATGACCACAAGCGCAGATTCAAAATAGCAACTTTTGCACGAAAAATTCAATTATTCATCATAACTTTTAAAAATGTTTCGGAAATACTCTTGAATATATGTTAAATTAAAGCTTATGTTATGCACTATAAGTTAAAAATAAATTTGTCTTCTATATTTAAACGCCCCTGAACTCAAAAAATCATCACTCTTCGTGTTGTTATAATTTACTATTTAAGTTTTTTCAATTAATTTATCTGTATTTTAGGTTATACGTTATAGTGCTATAAGATACAAATGATTCGTTAAGCAGACACTCGATATCCACTCTTATCTACCCGATTTCTCTTAAAACAATAATTATGTTAAGAAAATCATTTTTTATATTAGCTTCGATGCGAAGCTGAGAAGGTATTAATTTTACTATGATGTGATTTTTTTTTTGTGTCTGTTACCACTTTTTCTCAGCTCTCACTAGACCGATTTCTTTCAACGATACGTCAAAAGATCACAAATCGTATTTAGTCGAAGACATTACCCTCAGAAATTGAAAAAAATTTCCTTCGTTACCCGTAAATGGGGGAAACCTCCAAAAAAATTTCAAATTTAAAAATTGATAATTTTCGAAATTTTCGAAATTTTTTATACTTAAAACTGCCATTACTTTTTCAAAAATGAACAATTCAATATAATTTTTTTTTTATAGATGCTTGATGTCTTTACCTATTATTTGATATATTTTTTTATAAATCTAACCCTTTACCTGCCCACAGAGAGGGATTTAAAATGACATCTTTTTCACAAAAAATTAACATTTTCAACTTAACTTTTGAAAGTATTCCGGAAAGTCTGACACTTTTACATATATCTTAAATTAAAGATAATGTAATATACTTTATCATGGAAAAAAAAAATTCGGACTTTATTTTGTCATCACAGTAAAAACAGACATCAAAGTTAATAAAAAAAAATACGATTTTTGTTAAAAAATTCTTTTTTATATTTTTAACTTTATAATGCTATATCTTTTTGAAAAATGTATGGATCAATATAAATTTTTTTTATGAAAAAAAAAAAATTTCGGACTTTATTTTGTCTTATTTTGAAAATGGATACCAAATGCTATTTTTGTGTGAAAACTCTCGATTTTATATTTTACATTGTTCACTTTAAAATGCTATAACTTTTTAAAAAATGTATGGATCAACACAATTTTTATAAGAAATAATATTTTTTAATAATCCCTTTTTCATTCGACATACTTTATCTCAATTAGGTTATAAATAAGAAAATAGCAGAACATGTAGCTTTTGTAATAATCCATCATTTTTTTTAAATTAAACACTATCTAAAGATTTGCATCGAAGCGTTTTTTATGATAGTGCTCTTAATCAATGTCAGATATCATTATACTTGACCCAACTATGCCACGTCACCACTGTGTCGCGACCCCCCGTGCTGGGTTTTTTACTCTAATTTAGTTTCTATAATAGAAGAATGGGGTCGTATAAATGTAAGATATACGGATTTTAAGAAAGCTATTGATAGCGTTTACCATGAAATTCTATCTAATCCAGAAACTAAATTTTATGGGTATTAATGATTCCATGTTTTCGTGATTTACTTCTTTTCTTAAAAGAAAAAACAACAGGTAATATCAATAGTAGTAAGTCAAATCTAATCGAATTATTGTCAGGAGTACCACAATATCATCTATCACCGCTATTATTTAATGTTTTTATTGATGACTTACAAAATGTATTTGACCATAGTAAAGTTCTATTATTTTCCGATTATTTAAAACTTTATTTGAAAATAATCACATTGGATGATTGCTATAAAGTACAAAAGGATTTGATTAGATTTACGAATTGGTTATTGAAAATAACATAGGTATTAATGTATCTAAGTGTTTATAAATAACTTTTATAAAGTACAAAGAACCGTTTGTTTTTAATTATGAAATTATTGGTAATACATTATATAAGATATCATGTGTCAAAGACCTTAGCGTTACCTTTTCAAGTGATTTTTTCATTTAATGAACTCATAATTACAATAACTAATAAAGCCCTTAGAATTTTAGGTTTTGTTAAAAGAAACTGTGATGAATTCAACAACCCCTACTGTTTGAAATTACTTTATAATTCATATTCAATCCTTGAATATTGGTCAATTATTTGGAGCTCATATCAAATTGGAATTATTAACAAAGTTTTGTTTTTATTTATGCTCAGAAGTAAAATTGGTAAAAATAATAATATCTTATTTGAAATATGTACTGAGTTTAAAATTAGGTCAATTAAAAAGAGGAGACTTGATAATGATATCATATTTATATATAAATAACTAAATAATTTGATAGATTGTTCGGATTTATTTAGTCTTACTTAGTTAACTTTCATTTCCCTAATAGGAAACATAGTTATTTTGGTAAGAATCTATAAACAGAACTATAGTCAATATGCTCCTTTAAATACAATAATTTCAAATTGTAACTACAAATGCACTTGAGTTTTTCTTTGATCACTTATCCAAGTTTCTATTGTATTTTGTTTATTTTTATCTGTTGCCATTACTAACTATTTTAAGTTATTTACTTTTTTTTTTACGCTATATCTATACACAAATTTATTTGTACTCGTGTCCACATGGGCGTTGATATTTTATTTATTTTTTTGTTAAAATTGTTTAATATTATATATTAGCGTATACATAATCGCAAATTTAATGTAAAGTAATATTGCTTATAATAAATAAAATCATATATCATTTAATATCATAAAATTTGTAATTTTAACATAAAAATAGCATATTTTTGAATACGATAATTTGTACCTTGAATTAGATACGATTTGTGATCTTTTGACGTATTGTTCAACAAAATCCGTCTAATAGGAGCTGAGAATAAGAGTTTAAAGACACAAAAAATAATCTGCTCATTATTTGTATTTCCCCTTACTTAAATTTTTATTTTATATAATCGTATATGTAATTTTTCAAACATTTTAGAAGGATTAAAACTTTTTAATTTTCACCTATGTTTTGGAGCTATTTTAGTTATATTTTGTTAAAAATAATAAAATTGAATTATTTGTTCATATAATCTACAATGTACAAAAATAAATACTTTATCATTTTGATTAGGTGAGTTGCAACATAACTTTTATGTATGTGTTTAGCGTTGATTATAGTAACATAGTTCTCGACATATGTATCCTCAAGTTTTTAGTAATATTTTATGGCTTTTTGAGTAAAATTTTAAATAATATTAGCTACAAATGATAAATTTTTATTATATACTCATTATATTAATTTTAATCAAATTAAAAAAAATGTTTAGTAAATTTATTACTAAGTATAAATGCCTTTTGTAACTTACTTTTCACGAAGTCAACTGTTTGATTAGTATGCATATCAGTATAGGTGATTCTAACCCTTTCCTTAATAGGATCATTTTTATCTACGGAATAGTCTCTGTATCGACCAACAGGTTTTGATGCAAATGATTCTTCGGGTCTCATCAATTCCGATACATCTAATATTTTAACTGTTTGATTTGTAGCCTAAAAACCATTTTGACGAATTTTAAATTAGTAAAATATTAAAATAGCTAACTGATTAATAGTTAGCTATTTTTTAAGGCATTTTTTATTTAAAGGCAAAAAAAACTTACGATTGCAGTCATGTTTGAGTTTTCTTGAATATCAATTAACTTTTAATTGAAGCAATTATTAACAATATGATTCAGTTTACTATAATGAAATAATTAGCTGGTCCTCTAGCATTTATATAGTATCTAATAAATGTGTTTATCTCATAGTGTTCATAAGATTTAGATTAGTATAATAAATAAAAATAATGATAAATTTGATAATTATATATTTACTATCAATAATTTATTATCATGATTTATTACATCAATTAGGTTCAATTTTACTTAAAAAAAAAACAATTTTCCATTTATAAATAATAACTTAACATATAATAAAGTAAACCTTCTATGTTTTTTCCATCACATATAATTACTAACAAATAAATGAGTACAATATATATTTTTATAACATAAATAAAATGTACGTAGTTTGAAATTTCAATTACAATTTAACGTAATTATAAAATATTTGCTTCGTTTACATAATATGAAGTTGTAATATTCTAAATAATAAGCTTAACAACATTAAGCTTTATTCACAACCTAATTGAAAAATCTAAAGGTCAAAACACACTTTAATTGAATAATTGTAATCTTGACCATTAATTATTAAAAAATTATGTTAGTTCATAAATATTTGTAATAAGATAATGATTAATGTACATTAATTGATTATTTTAAAATGAACTTAGATTTAACAATTTATTGACGATCTTATACACAGTGATTTATTGATAATAAAAGCACCAAATTTGAATTAAAAAATAAGTTTTCACTGAAATGCACTGTATAATTCTTTTCTAATTTTTGTGAACTACAGTAAATAACAAATATATTTTTATTTTTAATTATTCCTAAGGTAATTTTTAGAGTTTATTACTTTTTTAAGTTAAATAGAAAACCACTAGTACTATTATAATATTAGATGGGGAAAAAACTAAATAATATTTCTATTGGTCAAGAATCAGATTAGTAAAATTACTTTTTTGAATATTCTCATTTAAAAATTTAGAAAAGATGATGATCGAGGTAGTGTTAACAATGCTCTATTTTAGCCATAACCACAGATAAGAATACTACTATATTGTTTATTCATTTAGCTTATTAGTAAAATGTATTATAACTTAAAAAATAATACTTCAAAACTAATTATTGACCAATCAAAAGTTAGTTGTGTGAAATTTGAGATTAATATGACAAGTTTAACTTGTTTTTTAGCCACATAAATGTATAGCGTTTATTTATCAACAATTTAAGCTGGACTTTTCGCTATAACTTTTCTTTGATTTAATTCTCAGTTGTAAATTTATAATCATTAAATAGATAATTTGATGAGGATTTTAAAATGTTTTTTTTTTATTAGTGCTTAATTAAAAAGCGACAGAATTTGCTTAAGGTACAATTGTTTTAGCTTTGATGCGTAGCTGAGAAGGTATTATTTTACTATGATGTGTTTTTTTTTTTGGCATACAGTTAACAATAGCTACCTAATTTTAACTTTTATTGTTTCCTAAAGATTTTTTAAAAATTATGGGAAAAAAATACTTAATAAAATTATTAATTATTAAACTAATTTATTTAATACATATTAAAATAAAATTTTCTCATAAAATCAATGAAAAAAATTTAATTCAATATAAAATTCATTAGATTCTGAAAGATCTCAAACGTCGTTATAATCTTATAGCCATAGACACAAATTCGACAAAATGTTTTGATGGCTTAATCTAAATTAAAATAAGTTAGAAAATTATAATTTAAGGCAACGACCTAATTTACTATCTATAAGAGAGAACATAGATAGTTTTATCGTAAAAAAAAATTAATTAATTTTATTTCTGTATATCAATAAATATATAAAAACAATAATAAAAGAAGGTTCATCTTAAGTGTCACCTTCTGATTCTAACTTTGGTTAGAAGGAAACAATATTATTTTGCTTAAAAAATATAGAATATTTAATGCTTAAATTAAAAAAAAACTGACAAAGCGTGTAGTGGACTGTTTTTCAAAATTACTATCTCTTAATTATGCAACGAAGAGATTTAATAAGTTTTCAACTTTCCAATCGAACAAAGTAGCAATATTATTATGATTATTTACAGTACATTTGAATGCCTGATAATAAATGATAAAATAAATAATAAAATTGGATACTTAAGAGTTATATTGTCTAATTGCAATTAAAGATATATGATATGAGTTTTAGATCAACAAACAAATATTTGCCATACAGAATCAATACGAAAATAGTTTTTCTCGTATATTGTATTCAAACAGAAAAAAAAAGGATAATTATAAAGGATATTATATCACAATTAAAATCTTATTTAAGTGTAAGGTATTTATTTACGGTCTTTTAATAGTTACTTAACTTGATTGTAAAGTTGTTTTACTTTTATTTGACATGATTAAAAATAATCATCGAAGACAATTGTAAATCCAATAGCGGGACTAGATATTTGAACATTCCAGATCATGAACAATTAAAGAAATCGCCGTCACACATATCGATTGGTTTATATAAACAAAATCTTACTAACACCAATGTGGAGTATTATTAAATTATTAGATAAAAATTAAACACGTGACGTAGAGATATAATGTTCAATAACAATTTAATGCAAACGTGTAGTGAGACGTAAATCAAAATTATATTTTGAAAAATGATTCATCCCAGCAAACGTCAATGACATCGTAAAAGGTCACTGATATTAAATTATCGAATGAATAAATGGCAAATGTCAAAGGTTTTCGGCTGAGAACTAACGAACAAACAAAATTTCCATAATGTGGGTAAATATATATAATTATTCTACCAATTAAAATAATCATTTATATTTGCATACCTACGTAATCACTTTCTTCTATTGAATTAATAGTTTAAGCAGTCGATATAAGTATTAATACCCACATTTTGTTAATTTTTTTTTCAAATGTTTGTGTAATATCTTAGTCTTCGTCATGGTCACTGTAATATTTATTCTGACAAATGTTCGGAATACTAGATATGTTATTTTATTAAGACATAAAGTTTGTTATTCAATCATAAGTGTAAAAATATGTTGTAATATATATTCTAAGGATATGAGAATTAATATATGGAAAAAATTGTATATGTAAAATAACAATTACGAAGCCAAAATGAAAAAGAATTTTTTTGATTGGAAGTGCAAAATATTTCTAGTCATTGAATGATGTTTTTTTGAAAATATTACCATGCAATATGTTTTATTTAACAAACGATAATTATTTAAGGGGAAAGCAATAGTTTATTGTTAAAATTTCAAAGAGGTTGGGGGGAAAACCTCTCACGTTCATCCTAAGATTCTTAAAATTATTAAATTTTTGATTACATCACTAATTTTAAAGCGTATTTTACTGTGAAATGGTAGTACGATAATGAAATCGCCAAAAAAAGCCAATCACACGATGGCCCAGTTTTTATTACTAAATAGTATTTTAGATCCAAAAGTCGTTAATACCTTGAATATCAAAAATTTTTTTTAACTTCAATGGTAGTAAAATTTTATTGTATCAATTTTAGTAGTTAAAAGACTACAAGCATAGTTTACATGTGGGCTGTGAGAGGCTACAATCCCACGCTTAATGTTAAATTATTTTAGGTAAAGGGAGAAATAAAGCTATGTGGTAGGAAAACTCCACATCCAGTCTATTATCTATTATGTCTATTATAAAAGATCAATTGATATTAGTCTTTAGTACAGATTGAAATCGGACAATGAATAATATCATAAAACGCTTTATTACGATTGTGTATACAAAAATACATGAAAACTATTTAATAAACTTTAATGGAAATATCACAAATTTTAAATTTAATTATTAAGAATGTGTTAAAGCTTTCATGGATTGTCTTATTGCAGTACAGTTGTAGCCACAGACTAACAACCATTACTCTGAGGATGGACTCTGCAATGAGTCCGAAATGTCAGAACTCAACTGTCAACTATATATTACCCCAAAAAATAAATCATTAGGATAATTTTATTCTTTTAATTTTTAAGTATGAATTAAAAACTTTGATTTTATACGTGGTAATTCTTTTATCGTGAACATTAAATAATAAACAATATTTAGTCGAAAAATAAAAATAATATTGAAATTTTTTTTGTTTAAAATTAAAATTATATTAAAACTAGTTATTGGCATTTTTATACCTAGGCGGGCGAATTAATACAGTTGGGCTATTGATAAAAATAGCAGTTGATGATAACTGCTATGATAACAGTTGATGAAAAATTGATGATAACTTCTGAAATACTGGTTCAATGTATTTGTCAACCAGTCATTTTCTGAATTAAATCATTATCTAGCAAGTTAATTATGTATGTTGCCATTTGAAAATATAAAGTTGACACTTCATCAGTTATAAGGGATGATTCTAAAAAGTAATTTAGGGCTGATAAATCAAGAAATATACATAAATAAAAAAAGACCAACATTTTTTTCCATTATTGTATTTATTTTTCGATTGATCGGCTTATGATAGACCGATCACTCTGTATAATTTAATCAACTTAAATGATAAAAAATATTAAATTAAGTAAATAATTGGTGGATAACAACTTTTGAACTAGTATTTCAGAAGTTATAAACATTTTTATACCTAGACGAGAGGAGTAAGGTCAAAAAATGTCTAGTGATAAAATTAGCAGCACCCACATTTTATCTCCAGTAATTGCCTGTTATAACTTCTAAATACTAGTCCAAAAGTTTTTATCAATCAGCCATTTTCTGAATTAGGTCATAATCTAATATCTATATTTTAAGGTATAAGAGATGATGAATGTAAAAATATTTTTTTAATAATAAATTGAGAAAATTAAACAATGTAATTAAAAAATAATGAAGAATTACTATTTCGCTTAATTAAGACGTTCGAAATATAAGAATCACCCTTTATAGATTTAAATAATGCAAATAATTCAAAATATTTTTACAAAACAATAAATTTAAAAAGAAAATATTTGTTTAAAAAAATATGTATATTTTTTATATTTGGCACTCGATCTTACACAGTTCGTTGGGATAGTATTATTTTTACTATACAGTACATTTTAAAAGCTTTATTTTTAAATACGTTTTATAGTAGTAGGCAGAATTTCTAAGATATTTTCAAAAATAAAATAAAATAAAGTATATTAGGAATCCAGTGAAGTTTAGTTTAGGCATTGTTTAGATAAATATCAGTTGATATTTGACAGCGATTAAAATTACTAACGTAATGTGATTTTTTTTTAATGTGTTTAAAGCATACAAAAAAACAATTTAACCTATTCGCCAAAAATTATAAATATTATAATTTTTTTTATTTGTGTTTTAACCGAATTCAAAAGATGGAGAAGGTTATGAAATTTGGTTGTATGTTTTATGTTTGTTACCCCAGAACTCCGCCATTTATAAACTAATTTCGAAAATTCTTTTTTTATTTAAAAGGATATGCTTTTCGATTAGTATCATAAAAATGTTATCAAAATCGGTTCAGTAGTTTTTAAATAAAAATAACTGAAAAATATGTTAAGTAACCAAAGTAGCGTATTTAATTGCTTTCTTGTGACCATTGGTCTTTACGGTCACTAAAATAGACCAGATTGAACTACCTAATTTTTGGCTTCATTATGAAGTAATACTTAATAATTAAAAATATAAAATTTGTGTTAAGAAAAAATACCGACCAAAAACTCTGTTATGCTAAAATACACTAAAAATAATAAAATAAATCAGATTAAAATTAGAACAAAATCAATTATTAAGAATAATAATATAAACTTTTGATATTGTTGGAGTCGGTGCCAGCCAAGGTTAACAACGTGTATCATAATCAACAACAAGACAGCAAACGCTTAACGTTGAACAGCATGGCGAACAGTGACGGGCATATACTACAATGGCGGAAGGGTAACTATAATTGTGTAGGGACCCAAACGCTCGTAAACGTGAAGAGCAGACGTCGTTGTCTGTTGGTATCGAGATGTTTGAATTTTAATCATAAATAAATTAATGGCAATAAAATGTCATTTATTTTAGTAGCATTATCTTATGCTATTGTTGTTTTGAAGTAGAAATAATAAACAACAGCTATTGATATTTATTGAAGAAATTAAACTGCTAATTTTTATAACTATTAGCTTCGACGTGTAGCTAAGAGGTTATCGGTTTTACTCTGCTATTATTAATTAATTTTTTTTTTCTATGTATCCGTGTACGCAATTACTTATCTCCTACTAATTTTGCTCAACTATACGTCAATAGAACACAAAACGTATTTGTTTGAATGATATATGAATCTAAAAAAAATTTTAGTTATATAAAATGCTTTTCTAAATGTTAACAAATTGTTTTGAAAATTCCATCAGTACCTATTAGTATTAGCAGAGTAATTGATTTAGTAGAGTCATTGTCCACTAAATTTAATTTAAGTAGTGTCTTTCGATTTATAAATAGTTAAATACATTTTAGGTTCATCCTTATCCCTTTCTTAACTTTATTTTTTTTAAATGGCAACATATATTGAACTAGCTTATAAAATAGAACATAATCGAATTAAGAAAATGACTGATCGATAACAACTTTTAGACCAGTACTTCGAAACTTAATAAGTTTTTATAGCTGGGTGAAAAAGTGCGGTCGTGAAATAATGTTAAATGATAAGAATAATCATACCCGATCACTAATGCACTACAAAATTATTAGTATTTTAATACTTAGGCAGATGGAAATGCGCAGCCGAGAAATGTCTAATGATAAAAATAGTCATAACCGATCATAAATATATTACAACAATAAAATGAATAATACACAACAAATTCATCGATTATTTTTAATTTGGTGGACAGCTATTTGAGAAAATGAATACAGAAGTCAATCGAGTTAGAAAGTAAGAGCGACAAATTCAAATAACTACTTGAACAAAGTATCATAAATGTACAGTTAATACACTGTATGAGAGACACACAACTTGGCGGGCAAATGGTAAGATGGAGGGATCCTGTTTCATTCAATACTCAATTGCGTGGCCTGCGGTAGGGCAATAAGTTCATAAGCAAACTGGCAACGTTGCTTTAAAAAATCAGAAGGGACAGAGCGTTATGAACGTTATTAATACTAATGAAAACCACGTTGCCAGTTTGCTTATGAACTAATCTTTTGTTTGAATTAGCCGCTCTTATTACTTGTGACTCGATTAACCTCAGAATCTGTCCATCGAATTGAAAATTCAATGAATTTGTTGCAGTTTTTAAAATATATTTTTCCTTCTGCTGAAAACGTTTGTTGGAATTGGTCTCTCAAATAAATAAAATTATTATTTATAGACCATCCTGTAAGGTTATTTTGCTATTCGTTATTTATCGCCATTATTATTGTAAATAAATTGCATTTATAAAATGTATATTATGAGGGCTTTGACAATTTTTAGTACAAATTATTCAATCACAACTATTACAACATAAAAGTTATTCCTTGTTTGTTTGTTTTTAGCAGAAAAAATTGTTGTATTGTTTAATGGAAGTTTTAAATTTTCCTTTTATATTTTATTTGTGATTATATACAGGTGTTCAGTAAGTAAGGAAATAGGTAAATTGTTACAATGAGAACAATATAAACCTGTTTCCTCACTTACTGAACACTCTCTATATAATGTAATTGATAATAATTTAATAGATTATGCACTGTAATTTAAAATGTAAAAATATAAATAATCGTTTACAAAATTGTGAACTTAATAAATGTAAGAAACTGTTACATAAAAATTGCATACATATTACTAAAAATATTTATTATGTACGTATATATATATATTTCAGTGGCAGCTAGTGAGTGCTGGTATATGGGATGCCACTTTAATTATAATACCACTAGTCATGGGTACAAAAAATTGTCAAATTAAATATAATAAAATAAAAAAAAAACAAATTTCAATTTTTGAGGGTAGTTTTTTCGACTACATACGATTTGTGATCTTTTAACGTTTTGCTGAAAAAAATCCGATCGATGAGAGCTGTGAAAAAGTGGTAAACACAAATACACACACAAAAAAAAAAATACATCATAGTAAAATTAATACTTTCTCAGCATCGCATGGATGCTAAATTTGTGAAAAGTAATTACAATTCAGATATTGTGTGCCTGCACAATAAAATTGGTCCGCACGTGTTAGCAAAATTATTTAAAGAAATATTGATAACGTTCTCGACAAGCCATACCGCACTCTGCACCATCAACTGACAATATATTTAAAATATAATCGATAGAGGCAGCACAAATCGTCAAAAAAGATCAACAAAAGCAGTCTACAACATATCTTAATAGAATAAATTTTACTAACTCAGTATTAAATGTAGAGCTTATCCATAATCCATTTTGGGATTTAAATAAAATTAAGCTTGATAATGGAAAATGAAACTGTACTTATTTATTATACTTCAATCAATTATAACTCTTTACTAATGCAATATATCCAAAAACGAATATAAGATCATCTCCAAAATATTGTTCTTTTTCGATTTTATAATGGTCATTATTGCTTTAATGTGCAGTACATAGTGTGTAAAGTAAGCAAATAAATAAATTTAGCAAAGTAAAAAAATTGTTTTCATACTTGTAAATTAAACATACCTTTTAATGATAATTCCTTTATAGTTTCTAGTAGTAGTTTGTAGTAGGACTTATTCCTCTCTAAAAACTATGCTTGATAATAAAAGTCTAACATTTAGATCTAAAGTGTTATCTATAGTACCTTTGTTAAATTGCCTTATTCAAGATCTCAATACTAATTATTAAAGGAAAAAGATCTAATAAATAGAATACAATATTTTAATTATACAAATTTATCTTAAACAATCTAAGTAAATATTATTATTTTAAATTATATAATGAAAGCAGTAAACAATTTCTTTAAACACAAGTTAACTTAATTATTTGACTACTGGACAAAAATATATAATACATAACAGAATATCAATAATCTTAACGATAACGTAATATGTCCAGAATTGTTTTCGAAGATATTAAATAGTTACGGGTACCAAGTCTTAAATTGACTTTGCATTTATATACATTATTCGTCAGTTTGCGCAGAGTTTTTTTACGTGCGTTGGATAATTTGAAATCTAAAATAAAAAAATTATTGAGTTTTCAACGAATAAACTAATAATATTATAGATACCCGATATAATGCATTTAACTGCCAAAGGCGCGTGTTTCATATAAAACGTTTCCAATCTACGCAGTTCAGCTGATATTACAGAAACCGTTTCTCCCCAATCGATTAAATTAATATTATAAAATTGACTTCCATCCACGGTATTTTCAACACCAGTACAAACTCCTCTATACCAGTTACCGTCACCTAAATTAAAATAGATATATTAAGAAGAAAATAATGGAAATTTTTTTTTTTTTTTGGTATAATATTTCTCAATTAAAGACAATGTTTGAATGTTATGAGTTACGATGCACTCATATGAAAGAAAAAAGGTACTAATAAATTATTTTAGTTGACTAATCAAATGTCTATCATAAATCCGTATGAAGTTTATTTATCTTCATAGTATTTTAATAATTAAAATTGTTGATTACTATATTTAACGGCACAAAGTTCATCACGTCGTGGTTTAAAATTACAATCTTGTGTATGTTTATAATATACATTCATAATATTTTCCATAGTTCTTATTATTTGTTCATTTTTGACTTTTGTCATGCAAAAAAAATCTGCTTGACAGTACAGCACTCTCATGCCATAATCATAATTATTCCTTAATTGAAGTTGAGGAACATCATCCAGAGTATAGAATTGTAGACCATTGTCGACCTGAGATCCGTTCTGCTTGTTCACTACACCTACATTCTATTAAATAGTCATATTATTTATTTATTAATATGACTTATTAATATAAGTCCTCTCTAAAAAAAACTATGCTTGATAATAAAAGTCTAACATTAAGAACTAAACTGTTCAGTATTAGTTAAATAGAAAAAAATTGAATATACGATTTTTAATTACCAAGTATGTTTTATTGAAGTCCTCTACAGCATTTGACCAATCATACACCGCATCTACTAAAATATAAATTAAAATATTTACAATTTTCTTTTTACTATCATAAAATATAACCTATAGGTACATTTATAAATAACAAATTATAGAAATTTAACACGTCTATTTGAACGTATTCCTGAACTAAATAATTTATGAAAAAATAAATGATTGTTGTCACGATTCAAAATAAATTATTAAATAATTGTTTTATTTATATAAATTCAATATTAATCATTGAAAATTATATATGTCTATTCAATTTTAAAGTAAACCGACCTTCTTTAGATGCTTCTAAAGGAAACGAAATACATGACTTCAAATCATCATGTTCTATAATTTCATCAACTAATGTGATATTTCTATTAGAAATTTGTTCAAATTTACCTTCAGTGGTTATGTGTTTTTTTGTCACATACGGTTCAGTCTTTTCTTGAGCGTCATTAAGTGTCGTTGAAGGATTAATTACTTCCTCAACGCAATTATTTACTAAATAAAATTACTATAAATAAAAAATTGTTTTCATACTTGTAAATTAAACATACCTTTTAAAGGTAATTTCTTTATAGTGTCTAAAAGGGGCTCGTTTGTAGTAGGTAAGAGACAACACTGAGAACCAGTGTGCATATAATTTTTTAATATTGAAATTGAATTACGACGCTCATGCAAAGATTTTTTATTTGAAATAATATTTTCTAATGACACGTCAGTTTGCGTTTCACAATTTAATGAATTCAGTAAGGACAATTCTGTTTGTGTCTCGGACACATTGAACATAAGTTTAATATTAGTCTGAGTAAGTTTCTCAGAGGTTAATAAAGATGTCTGAACTGCAATGTCTTGAACTTCCTTATTCTGCGACTCCAAAATATGTGCTTCTGGAACAGATTTTATTTGACCGTTTATATCATCTGTCAATTTGTTTGTTTGTGTTCCATAATCTACTGAGGTGACTAAATAAAATAAAAATTAATAACGTAAAAAAAAAAATTATAATGACTGTAACACGTAAGAATTAATCATAAATAGAGAAAATAAATTTAGCAAACGTTCAAATGTGCATAGAATTACCATTGCGTTTTTTTCTTAACCCAAGTTTCTTCTTGGCAATTCTTATTATTCGTGTAATAATATTAACCATTTTTTGTATTGAAAATTATTGATTCACTTAATTAGATCGAAACTGATTTTTATGTGAAAACCATCATCGTTTATAAATATATAAATGGTTGCCATGGAAATGTTTTTCAAACCAGAAATACTGCTACAATTATAATATGATAATCTTTTTGGTTATTAATTAATATTCCGGATAATTCTCAATTTTTGATTTGAACAACTTTTATTATTCTTTAACATTGAAAATATTAGTTGATTAATTAAATGTCTATCATAAATCCGTATGAAGTTTATCTAGTACTTTTGTAATTCATACTTCCCATCATTATAAATTTTATTAAGTGTATTATTTTACTGAGAAACAATTGTATGCAAATAGTTAATTAATTATAAGTGACTGTATGTATATATTTATATACACCCACTCAATAACTCTTTGTGACATCTATGTGAATTAATTTGCAAATTACTTAGAATACTCGCATTTCTATCATAGCGGAGAATTATCTATAACGTCTATGTGTTTACTTTTTAATTACCTAAAGAAGTCTCAATGTAACGTCGCATGGATTTCTTTTTTGTTAAATCGCATGCATAGAATTCATAAGTCTGGTAGTTAAGGATCGACATTTTTTTTAACAACAAAATAGGCTCTAAAATGTAGCATCACACTGCTCAAAGTGATGTCACTGCGATGTCTCTGAGATGAATTTTTGCACACTGGTTGGGCGTATATTATTTTGAACTATTAAACTATGTTAACGATTGGATCGTCGAATAAAATAAAAATAGCTAAATTTATCACGTGCTTAAAATTATTTAACATCCATAAAAAATATGTAATAATTTCAGGCCTGAATAAATTTTCGTGTTAAATATATATAGGGTGATTTTTTTATCATAACCCACTCAATTACTTGCAAAATAATAATAATTTAAACATTTTTTTTTTCA